TGGAAAATGAATTGAAATGTGAAGTTGGTGAAATAGAAAATTTTGAAAAAAGTGAAGAAAAGTGGAATGAAAATAGTGATAAAGGTGGTGATAGTGAGTGGGATGAGTTTTGTGAATTTTTTGATGAATTTGAAAGTGGAAATTGTGATGAAATTTGAAAAATTAAAAAAAATTAAAAAAAAAACGCCAAAAATTTTTCAAACTCAATGGTTACTAGATGAAATTAAGATTTTCATGAATTTTTCTTTCACATTTTCCTATAGACTTCAAAAATTTTCACCAAAGTAATCCAAAAGAAATTGATTTTTCTTCATATCCGATTAATTTTTCTGCTGAGGAATTAATCAGAACAAGAAAGAAGAAATGACAAACAAGATCAAGTAATGCAACACTCATCCAACCTTCTCAGTGATCAAAACTCAAAATAACATTAACAAACTATTAAACATTTTTTTGTCATTTTATTGACTAATTTTTAGTGCACATATGCATGGTAAGATTGAATTTTAATAAAGAAACGATTTATCACAGTTGAACAGATTGCTGAAGGATTGTCTGGACGTTTTCTTCATCTTTAGTAAATAAAAATTTATTCCAACTTTTTACTCACATCATGTTTTTATTCAGTCGATTCCAAAATTTATGTACACGCTCTCAAAAGCTTTTAAGCCTTTTCTCTTTCGAAATCAAAAAGTTCTCTTCGAAATAACTTTCAAAAAAGTTTTCGGCTTACGCTCTGCAAGTTTCGAAGTTGAAACTCTCTCTCGAAAAGCTTTGAGTCACTTTGAGTGAACTTTCTTCATTTAATCTTCTTCTTGATCTTCTTTTTTGACTCTTGCTTCAGAATAATTTTATTCTAATCCTGATGCACATTAATTTGACGTTTCATTTCAGAAAGCTTCTTCCTAATACTTCGTTTAAGTGAATGGATTTGATCCACTCGAGATATTTAATTAGGTATTCACTCGATAAATTAAATTTTTCCAATCAGTACTCAGAAATTGTTGAAATTTGAGAGAAAATTAAAATTTAATTTTGTCAATTTATCCCATATAAAAAGTAATTTGAGATGCAAATAATTCAGAAAATTTTTATGGAGTTCTGTTGCCAAATCTACTCTTTTCATATTAAAATAAAATTTAATATCAAATTTGGGTTTGAAATTATAATATAAAAGTAGAGATTTGATATTTTGCATATTGATTAGATTTTACCTGGGATATTGTATGAAATAGTTGATAAATTATTCATTTGGTTATTATCAAAATTTTATTGCATTCGTTTTTCTTTGTCAGTTCATCTCGCAACTTACAATTTGATTGTTTCGATGAGAAGTTACAAAATTTATGATGAATTGCAGAAGAGAGAGCTGCAATTAGCACCCACAAATCGTTGGAATGTTTGAGCGATGAAGCTTAATTTGCAAAGTCCATTGAATTGACATCCAGGAATCTGCAATGGACGTTCGTTGTAAAGGAACAAAAGGTCGTGGTCACCATCAGCACAGCTATAAGTAATCAATCAAAATGAAATGAAAGCTTTCCTAGGTAGGAAAAATAAATTAAAACCCACTCGTAACGAACAACTCCCAAGTTTCCACCTTTTGGACTGACCCAACTCGTTCTCCAATGACGGTTGTTGAGCAATATTGTGTCTTGTCAAAGGAATTTCATCTTCAAATAATCCAAGAGCTACCATAAAAATTTGCAATGTCGAAGAATGAACTCCGATAACACGAGCTGATTCTGAAGCGGTGTCAGCAGTTAAGTATGACAGCATATTCGTCATCAATTCACAACTCATATTTTCAGTAAGACGACGGTCTGGAATCCCGTAACCATTTCTGTAGTAATATTTCATGTCTGTGTAATATTCCAATACTTGATTGTTAGCAATTGAAAATGCACTGCACCATGACGAGTCATCTTCAGGGTTGATCGTTTTTTCGAAACGACAAATATCCCAAATTGTTAAAATATTTGGAATGCTCTGCTGAACGAATCCAAGTTTTGCATTGACTTCAGCTATTGTTTGTCTGAATTGAGGGCCCAATCGGAATGCATCGGATTCTGTTGTACTTTCCAAAAGACTAAATGCGGGACAGAAGTCACCTGGTCGTGTCAATGTATCCTCTGTTGGAACATCTTCAAATACAACATTTTCAGCACCAGCTTCACCAAAAAGTCCTTGAGCAAATGCACGAATACTTTCTCTACTTCTTTGACGTTCTGAATGGCGGAACCAAAACAAAGTTTGATTATAAGTTGATAGTAAAAGTGTTGGGAAGTAACTGGAATATCTTTGTCCTAATTGTCGCATTGTTTCAACACCTGAAGGTGTAATCAAATCAGCATTTGATAGAATCGCGCGTGGATCTTGTGTCCAATTTTGAATAAGATCAAAATCTCCAGCACAAAGGGAAGTAAGTCGGCTCGATAATTATCGATGACATTATTTTGAAGCTGTTATGAAATTTTTTTGTAAATTTCTTGCTTGAAGTTTATAAGAATTAAAAATTATTTACAGGTCCATTAGCGAGCTCAATCATAGATTGCATTGTAACTGGGTCAGGGTATCGACCACCATGGCGACTCACAAACCAAAGCCTTGTTGGGGTGCAAGCTGTTAATGTTTTATATTAAATATTTCACAGTTTGAAATGCTTTACAATATTTGCAACTCACTTGAAACATTTGGATTCACATTTGGTCGATGAATGGCTTGATAGCTCGATTGTGATGCGTGCATTCCATTTTGTGGTCTTAATGGATCACTTGAATAGCAGTAGACAGGATTATGCACTGAAACTTGTGCATTTACAACAAAGAGAACTGAAAGTATTGACAAGACTAATTTCATTTTAGTTGATTTTGTTGTAGTTCGAAATGAAAACACTTTGACTTATGTCTATTCTATAGCTTGAATCTTCAGGTTTATATAGTAATGCAGTAATATTTGATTTAATAATCAATGTTTTATTGCCGGACACTTCGATAAAATAACTTTTTTTGATTTAGCAAAGTCAAGTAGATAAAATAATAATAAAATCAAACCACTTGATCGATCTCAAGTGAATGAATTTTTGAAATGTTAGTGACACGTGATAAACTTTGAAAATATTATCATCTAAATGAATGTGAACGTTAAGCATGCTTTTGATAAGAGTTTGTGATGTGCCACCACGTTTAACGCACGTTTCTTTTTTATTTTTCTTTATTCTTTTAGTTTACTTGTCTGGAGATAAGTTTAGTCGACAACGTAAGTCAGTGAATAGAAAAAAAATAAAAACAAATTCATTAGAATGTTCTTACATCATGTCAATCAAAAGGAACATTTAATATAGAACTAAACTTTAATTAAAATAAATGGTTGAAAGAACATAAAAAAGAATTAAAATTTAATTTTATCGACTGATGCAAAGTTTTAGTGAATCACGTTCTGAGATTGCAAATGTTTATAAAACAAATTGAGTTTCATTCAAGATTAAATTCTATTTTATTAAATCTCAGTTTTATTGCTTTTCACTAAAGTCGTAACATTCAAGTTTTTAATGACATAAAACTCATGAATTTAAATGATGAAAATTGATGTAAAATGAGATTCCATGTCGTGTTGTCGCTCCAGCATTTTCAATAAATTTCAATCACATTTTTATGCAACATCACTTCTTTTTATCGTCCGTCTATTCATGAAAATAAATTGATCACGAATGGAATGTCACAGTGAAGGTGTAATCGACCTATAATTAAGAAAGCTGATTGACATCAGCATTTCAGTTATAAATTTTCCTTTCTCGTTAGTCATGACAGTTTCAAATCGTTTATAATTTTCTTGCTGATTGTGCTTAATAACCCTGATAGCAATTTATCTTGACATATTCCATCAACATTTATCTCAACAATTGTATCTTGAGTTAGCGAATCAGACCCTTGGTCAGAAGCAGAAATGCCGACGAACACATGAGTAGTGGAAAGATAAATTTAATCTTTAATTGTCAGCATGATATTCACGTGAATTTTGCAAATGTTAAGTGTAACAATAAAAAGAGATTTATATGGAGAGCTCGTAATTAATCAACAAATGCTTAAGAGACATTCTTATCGAGAAATAAATCATTGATAACAACAAATTTCAAATTTCAAATTTCAATTGTATGCGATTAATGTTTGTACCAGATATGCTTTTTTTGAACTGTGCTGACAGATCTCGTGGTTTGATGAATTATAAACAATAAAAACATAAAAATAGATTTCATAAAGCATTTCCAAAAGCATAACTCAGTGAAGTTGTTTTAAAAAGGAAGATAATTCATTTCATTTATTTTTTCTTATAAAAAGACTTTTTTAATGAGATCAAAATCATTTAATTATTACTGCAGGCAAGAGTTGCACAGTTAGCTCCAATGAATCGGCTGTAGCGTTGACGAATGACATTAACGTTACAAAGACCATTAGATTGGCATCCAGGGATGACAAACGGTTTTTCATTCATAAGGAAGAGAACTTCGTCATTTCCGGCAGGGCAACTAAAAATATGAAATTGTTTAAAAATATTTTCTAATTGAATATTTACAATTTTTTAATTACTTGTAGCGAATAGCAGCAAGATTTGTTGCCATTGGTGTTATAAATGAACTTCTCCATTGTCGGTTTGCTTGAATATTGAAATTAGCAGCTGTTAGTGGAACATCACCATCAAACAATCCCAAAGTGACCATGAAAAGTTGGAAAGCTGTTGAATGTGTGCTGTAAATTCTGACATTCTCTGTCTGGTCGCTTGTGTCAAGGAATCCCAGAAGATCCTGAATCAAAAGACAATTCATATTTTCAAATAGTCTTCTTGGACCTCCATAGCCAGTATTGTAGAAATAATCCAAATCTTCAAAATATTCCAACATCAAATTGTTATGTGGTGAGAATAAACCACAGAATGGAGCTGGCGTTGTTGAACTCCACAACTGTTCGAAATTACAAATCTCCCAAAGTGTTCTTGTCTGTCGTGCAGTCAATCTTTCAGATCCAAGTAAACCTGCCTTGTCATTAACTTGATTCAACATTTCTTGGAATTCAGGCCCATTTTGCCACGCACTTCTTTGAACGGTATTACTGCTGACTGCATCGTACAATGGACAACCATCATGAGGTCTCAAGAGAAAATCAGGTTCGGGAATAGGTTCGACAAACACTTGCTGGAACCATTGGGACCAAAAAGTCCGTCAGCAAAGGCACGAACAGTTGCTTGAGTTCTCTGTCTGTCAGTATGTCTGAAAATGTATCGAGCACGATTGTAGGTCGTTGAGAGTAAAGTGGGAAAAGCTTGTTTCAACAAGCTTTAATTCAGATCAACACCTGGAGTTGTAAATCTTTCTGGAGCTGAACCTATGGGATTATTTGAAACAGCATGGGAAGAAAGATTTCCACTTGAAACTTGGAATAAACTTCAAAAACGCAAACTTAAACTTGCAGTGATCCATCCTGTAAGAAATTAGGTATTTGTATCTCAATTGTATGCTTGTTACAGAAATAAATAAATTAAAATACATCAAAAAAAAATTTCGGTTCGTACTTTTATTCTTATTTTGCGTTCAATAGTAATTGAAAAATTGTTACAGAAAAAATAATTCAACAAACAAATTCTTCTGATGCTAAAGAAAGCAAAATTTTATTAACTTTTTCTTTAAATCTATTCTACAGTCAATATATATTTCTTTCTTTTATTTATTAATCCATTCTGNTTTCACTCAAGTGCTGTGATTCACTTGAAGTTTTCCAGAAACTCGATCAGCAGCAAGAAGAAAAATATGAAATTTTGACGCGGCTTACGTTGCGCAAGTGATTTCATTACGTTCCATCCAGAAACAGTCAAGAATTGATCAATAGCAGTTGTGATGTTTGGATTCCATCTCCAAGCATTTATTAAGTTGAAATCAGCTTGGCAAATTGCTTGACCTCTTCCAGCAGCATGTGCGGCAATTATATTGTTGACTTGAGGTTGAATACTTGACATTCGGTTGATGTCATTGACACTTGGAAGACGATCGGCATGTCGAGTATAAAACCAAAACTTGTGCAAGACGAAACATTCGGATTGACGGAACGTCCACGAATGATATCGTTGGCTGTACGACTAGAATATCTGCTAAGTTGTGGTCTTATCAAATCCGTTACATAACAGTAATTGGGATCATGTTGACCGTAAGCAGAAACAGCCAAAGTTGCGAACAAAGCACTTAAAGCAAAGAAGTTCATTTTCTTTTGAGTAAAATCTGTAACTGAAGGTGAAACATTTGACGAAATTTTTTATACGATTCTCTTCTTTTTTTACACCAATCACAACTCAATAAATTTTTATCACCAAATTTTTTTTGTTATCATTCATAAACCTGAAGAACGTGAAAAGATTAAGGCAAATTTAGGCACATGTGAACCACGCGGTCAAAAACGTATTTATCATCATGAAAAAGTAAGATTGAAACTCATACGACATTAAGAAAAGGTTCAAATTCCAGACTGTAGTTATCTTAGTTATTAATAACTCTTTTCTACTCAGCTGCTTTGGTTCTTAACTTTGTTACTTACAACGTTCTTCACTTGGTTATTTAAAACAATTTTACGATCGACGATTTGTCGTTTCAAATATAATTTTGTGATGTTGGTCTTGAACTTAAACAAATTAGAGAAAAGCTTTGCAACAAATATGTCTTCCTTCTATGAACTTAGGAATTCCACGACGATGCTACCTAAATAGAAGGAACAAAGTGACAAATGTTTCCGTTTTAGCTAAATAAAGAAGAATCGCAAGCAAAGCATGTGGAGACACAGCAAAGTTTTTCTTTCTTTTTTATTCCAAATATGTTTTCCTTTTTTATGTGTGAATTTAGAAGAACAAATGACATCATTATCTCGTGTTGCTTTCATTCACATCTGAGCTTAAAATGTGCCGAAAAATTGAAGAGATAAAGTGTGAAGTTAAACAAGCAACAAAAAGAAAAAAGGCAAATAAATTTCCATAATTTCTAACATTTTATTCAACATTTCTTTCTTTTTCTTGAATTTCTGATGGAAGCTTTTTGTGTGTGGAAAATTCTCCTTTGGGGAAAGTGGGGTGGTTAAGAAGTTATGTAATGATTATCTAACAGAAGAAGAAACAAACAGTTTTAGAATCTAAGCCCGAGTTTACTTTTAACCAGCTACAATTTTTCATTCACTAAAATAACAAAGCTTCCTAATTTATGGGAAAACTTTTCTCACGAGATTGAAATGTGTTCAGACAGCTTCAATAATTTTATTCCAAATTAATGATTTATCGAAAGCAATGAAAGGTTGAGCAGTGTGACACTACTAGTAATTATAATGTAATTAAATTGTCAGTATACAAATTTATTTAGTCAGATAAAATCACAACTTGAATCTACTATCGATAAGCACTACAAAAATGTTTAATTATCTAAATAAAATTAAAATCACAAAACAATGTTTGTTGTTCTATTATCTCCAAATAAAATCTTGCACGAACTATTTTGTTGCCTTTTATGAATCTTTTCTCATATATAAAACAAATTGAAGTTGCAATGGAAATCATCAGTTGTAAAAGAAATTTTGAGTATTAAGTTTAATAACTAAAAAGCAATGAAAGTTGAAATGGCGAAATGTGTTTTAATGCTAGCATTAATTGCTGTGTTCGTTACTGCTACGCTTGCAGGAAAGGGAGAAGATGATGGCGATAGTTTTGGGATGGAAGGGAAAGATCCAATGAAAATGTTTAAGGGTAAGAACAATTTTTATTTAATTTTTAATTAATCTAACACCATTCCTCACAAAATAGCAATGACAGGCATGATGAAAAAAATGATGAAAGGTGAGAATTTATGTTTGTCCTAGAACAATTTTTTAAAAATAATTTCCTGTTGATAGGAGGTTTTGGTCGTGAAGGTGATAAAGGTAATTATGGAAGATTTAATCAGTCACATGCATCAGTAATATTTAATTATAAAATTTTGTTTTGCTAAAAGATGACGATAGAAACTAACGAGAACAAGTTAAACTTGGAAGGTCGATTTATAGCTGTTGTTAATTGAATTGCACGAATATTTCAGTTACTTTAAAGCTTTAAGAATTTTAGTTTCAATCTGATGTTCTAATGTTACAAAGATTAACAAATAAAAAAATTCCCTTAACGAATTATCAAGAAAGAATTTTTACTGTCGTCTGTTAAAAGTTTTACAACTTCCTTCATGACGATTCTATTTTATGATGTTTAAAGCTTAACTCACTTACTCGTTTGACTTTATGTAATTTTCCCTCATCCAAAGCTTGCAAGAAAAAAACTTTTTCTCATCTTCTAAATAAGCCGATTTTGTTTTGTAAACATTGACGATAACTTTATCTTTTTTATGCTTTTAAAGCTTTTTATTATGCTTCCATTGTGATTCTCAATCTCATTCCTTAAGTTTCTCATACTTTGCTACGATTACGATCAAAAATATTTCAACGAAAAGTTAATCTTATTAGCCCCAAGAATATCTGCAACAAAAAATGAACTCAACAGAATCACCAAGACTTAAAAATCTTACAATCCAAATACATTTAATTCTTCATCATTAATTCACACATTTTTAACAGTGTTAGCACATCGTACGATAAAATCTTTCGGAGAAAAAACGAGTTTTTAGTTTGATTTTTGACTTTACCAACCTTGTGAGTTCTTCGAAATATTTTTTTTCTCTAAAAATGTTTAACTTTCTATCGGTTTTGAGTGAAGTTCCAGCAACTGGACATGTTTTGATAATCTCCGGAAAAGTATCGGAAAATGCTCAAAAGTTTTCAATTTCTCTTGCCCATCAGAAAGAGGAAAATCCTTATGAAAACTCGGATGTAGCTTTCATGTTTGTCTGTGAGTTTGATCAAGGAAAAATCGTCCGAAGTTCAATTGTTAATGGGAATCGGAGTGTTGCTGAAAGTACTGAAAATCTCACATCAAATAAATTACAACCAATAGAAAGTGGCGGAGAATTCACAATTTGCATTCTTGTCGGTGATGATCGATTCCACGTCAGTATTGACGACGAAGCATTTTGTTTCTTCAAATTTAAAATGCCAGTGAGTGAGATTAAAGCAATCTCAGTATCAGGAGATTTAGACAATGTTTCACAATTGGACCATCGCCTCATCTTTCCAATGCTTTATCCGCTCGTTAATAAAGACGTCCCCGATATTGTCTTCAGTTCATTTATTCCCAAAGAATATAAACCTGGTCACGTGGTTCTTATCTCTGGCATCGCAAGCGGCAACCCTGAAGGAGAATTCGTAATTATGTTCAATGAAAATGGAAGAAGTCGTCAATTGATTCATTTAAATCCTCGTTTCGACCAACAAAGTGTTGTTATGAATACAATGCTTGACGATGATGAGTAAGTTAAATATTTGTTTAGACGCGCTTCGCTTTTCGTCTTTGTTATTTATTTATGATAATTTTTTTTACAAATCTTTCTCGTTTAAGATCGAGTTGGGCTGATGCTGAAGTTCAATCTCAAATATTCCCATTTGAGATTAATAAACCATTCAAAATTTCTGCGGCTTTCACGGACTCAGATCTTAAAATAGCTACAAATGGACAATACGTTATGAGCTTTTCGTTGAAGCAAATTGAGTTAGGAGATGACCAAACCATATGGGAAATTCTTACAGGATTCCAAATAAAAGCTGGAGAAGATATTAAGATTCAAATCACCCAAGTTGAGCATGTGGAAACAGAAGATAAAGATTGCCAAGGCTTTGAAAGCTGTTCAGTTCCTAACATTTATTGAAATAAAAAACGTCTGTAAGTGTGGCTTTGGGAATCTGTTGGTAAAAAATTTCAGACACTTCCCATATAGCAGAAAAATGTGTTATGAAAACCTTTAAAGCTAATCCCATGGGAAAAGTTTTCCCATAAATTTAGAAGCTTTGTTATTGTAGTGAATGAAAAATTGTAGCTCATGGCGGTTAAAAGTAAACTCGGGCTTAGATTCTAAAACTGTTTGTTTCTTCTTCTGTTAGATAATCATTACATAACTTCTTAACCACCCCACTTTCCCCAAAGGAGAATTTTCCACACACAAAAAGCTTCCATCAGAAATTCAAGAAAAAGAAAGAAATGTTGAATAAAATGTTAGAAATTATGGAAATTTATTTGCCTTTTTTTCTTTTTGTTGCTTGTTTAACTTCACACTTTATCTCTTCAATTTTTCGGCACATTTTAAGCTCAGATGTGAATGAAAGCAACACGAGATAATGATGTCATTTGTTCTTCTAAATTCACACATAAAAAAGGAAAACATATTTGGAATAAAAAAGAAAGAAAAACTTTGCTGTGTCTCCACATGCTTTGCTTGCGATTCTTCTTTATTTAGCTAAAACGGAAACATTTGTCACTTTGTTCCTTCTATTTAGGTAGCATCGTCGTGGAATTCCTAAGTTCATAGAAGGAAGACAAATTTGTTGCAAAGCTTTTCTCTAATTTGTTTAAGTTCAAGACCAACATCAGAAAAATTTTCATAAACTTTAAAGTGTTGAATCATTTGCCAGCATGCGGGAATCTTCTTTGTGAAACATGAATCACTTTTATCTGCAGTTCACAAACTTCCGATTATCGAAACGTAATCGAGTTCTCAAGTTGCTTTAGGTTTTTCCGTATAATTCATGCCAACATTTCAATACAATTATTCAGAGAGAAAAGTTGTCAGAAGGAAAACAAAAATACGGAAACTGAACAGCATTAGGAAAGCTTTCATAAATCATCAGTTTGTTTTTCCGGTTGGGACACATCTAAAGGAAGTTGAAATAATATTCTGGCGCCACAGCGGGACAATTCATTCAGTGACAAAGTTTTTTGTGTTCCTTTATCCGGATAAATGTAGAAAATAATTCAAACAACGCTTGAATAAATGTAGAATTGGTGAATAAATATTAAAAACCATACAAAAGTTTTCATTTTTATGTTTCCTTCCCGCTCTCGGCTTTTCACTAATTTAAAGTTTAAACTTTACAGTTGCGAATAAAATTCATTGCCAATTTTCAATATTTCTACTCAATAAAATGTTTTAAATTTTAAATCATAAAATTGCATTCAAAAATCATTGAAAACTTTTCTCTTCAAATTTTAAATCTCTCATTTGAAGTACCATTTGTTATCACAGCTGAAATTAAAAGGATTGAGATAACATGAACCAAAATAAAACTTTTTTCGATAAAGAAAACTTTGCACACAAAAATTTATTTCAGATTGGTTTGAGTTGTTCAACAATGAAGTTTTTATTTGCACTTTTAGCAATTGTTGTCTTTGCGAGTTGTGAATTTAATCCAGAAACATTTGATTGGTCGACAGTGAAGCCAATAACAGAAACAAAAGCGTATAGAGAAGCGTTTCCAGAAAGATTTCTTGATGTTCCTATTAATGAAGATGCGCGAATATTCGATAGAAATGGAAGAATTTTACGTGGAAGGCCAGCAAGTCCGACAGACTTCCCACACTCTGTTGGAGTTCTGATAAGTTTTGAAATTGAGAGTGGCTGGTGTTCTGGTTCGCTTGTTTCACGCTCATATGTAATGACAGCTGCCCAATGTTTCATTGGTGCTGAGACCATGGTGACAGCACTTCTTGGTGCAAGTGACATCTCTCGGGTTAACGACTTCATTCTTTCATTTAATTACATCACACACCCACAATTCAATCAGAACAATTATGACCACGATCTTGCTTTAGTTCAACTTTCGCGACAAGCACAACTCAATGAGTTTGTTCAAATTATTCGAGTTCCAAACTTACGGCAAGTTGGTGTCACTTTTGAGAAGCAAAAAGTTTTCGTTGCTGGGTGAGTTGCAAAAGTTTTCTTTTCTTTGATGATAGCAGATTTTAAAGACATTTTAAGGTGGGGATCTTTGACTGGAGGGAATGAAGCTATTCCAGTGCAACAGTTGCATTCGATACAAGCTTCAGTAATTACAAATACTGCTTGTCGTATTCGTCATATTCGACTTCGTGATTTCCATCTCTGCACTGATGTTGAAGTTGGCGCTCCATGTACCGGCGATGAAGGTTCCGGTCTCTTCATCACTGAATTTGATAATCAACGAACATTAATTGGAATTTACAGCTGGCAATCGGAGACACTAATTCGTGGATGTGACCGCGGATTCCCTCGTGAGATATTTTGAAGAATTTTTCTTTTTCCATTTCCCAATAACTGAAATTATCTTTTTTAGCTGTTTACACGCGCATCACAAACTATTTGGTAACAATTTACTAATTACTATGTCAATGATGATCAAATTTGATTAACTTGTGAATAATTTCAGAATTGGATTCAAGCCAACTCTGACGTTGTCGTTCGTACGGGATTCGATTAATGGAATTGTTTGTATGAATCAAAGAAATAAAATCAACAACGAAATATTTTGACGTTATCAAACCATTAAATTTTTAATCTATTTTTATCAAAAAATATTCAGAATGCGCCATGGGGGGGATTAGTGACTTCCCCTTTTAGTTCAGGTCTTTAAAAGAGTTTCTTGTGATGAATTTTGTTTATTTGAGTTCTAAACGAATTGTAGTAAACATGAAATTGATAATTTTAGCAACGTTTTTATATGCTTTTGTTAGTTGTGAAATAAATTTGAATAATTCATTCGATTGGTCGACTGTTAAACCTTTGTGGGAAATTAAAGAATGGCGTGAAGCTCATCCAGAAAGAGCTGCTTTGTTGAGTGGTTCAAAGTCGCCGAGAATGCCTAGGATTATTAATGGAGAGCTTGCAAATCCAAATGACTTTCCATATGTCGCTGGTGTTTTACTTCATTTCGACACGGGAAACTCCTGGTGTGGTGGAAGTTTAATTTCAAGAAGATTCGTTTTGACAGCTGCAAATTGCGTCCACATTGTTCCATCGTCATCTGTCTTACTTGGTGCTAGCAATGTTCACAATGTTGCTGAAAATATTCGAGTCTTGACTATGCGGGTTCATCCATTATATAACTTCGATCAATCACTGAACGACATTGCAACACTCGAATTAAGTAGAACTGTCGATTTAAGTTCAACAATTACGTTGGTTCGTTTACCAAACAGACGACAAGTTCAGGTGACATTCGAGAATCAACAGTCAACCGTTTCAGGGTAGATTTGTGACATTATTGTTAACCATTAAAAAATTATTTAATTAAAAATCACTTAGATGGGGAAGAACATCAACGAGTGGAAGTGAACCAATTCCAACCCAATTTTTAAGATTCTTTAGATCTCCAGTGATGACAAATCTTGCGTGTCGTATCAGATATCCAACGACAATTGTCAACAGTCATGTATGTACAGATCCAACAGTTGGAACGCCATGTACAGGAGATGAAGGTGGCCCCTTGATGATTGTTGAAGCTGACGGTCGTAATACACAAATTGGAATTTTCAGTTCTCATTTCTCATTAGGTTGTGGCTTGGGATGGCCCGGTAATGATTCACATTTAATTAATCTTTTGCTGTTAATCTTCATCATTCTTCTTTAATCTTTCAGCTGTTTTCTCAAGAGTCACGAGCTTCCTTGACTTTATCGAACAAAATTCGGACGTGACGATTCTGGAAACTTGGGAATAAACATTCAAATCTTGTAATCTTCTTATCTAGTAATAAAATATTCTTATCAGTGATTATCTCTTATCATATGAGCTTCTGTTTAAATTTCATCAATCGTCAATAAAAATTCAGAGTCGCTTTGAATTTTCCGCATTTTGAGTTTAATTTTCAAGGCGTTAAGATGAAATTGTTAATACTTCTTCTCGGATTTGCCACATCAGCTTTCGCATTTTCTGTTGAAAACGTGGACTACGATAAGCTTGTTCCTGTCCATGAGACTAAAGAATGGAAAGCTGCATTTCCAACATTGGCTAAGCAACTTACCTTGAGTGACGGCACTAATCGAAATGGAAGAATTTGGGGTGGACGTCAAGCTGCCCCCGGTGAACTTCCATATCAAGTTGGAATCGTAGTTTTACTAGCTCAGCAAGGATTTTGTGGTGGCTCGATTGTTAGTGAAAATTTCGTTTTGACTGCTGCACAATGTTTCCCAGGAGATCCCAATGCAGTTGTCGAGATTGGTAAGTTAAATCATTTGTCAAGGATTTCATTTAAAAACTTTCATTTTTGATGTCTTGCAACAGGTTCAGTCGATAGAAATGCTGTTACTGAATTCATAAATGCAGCCGTGAAAATTCTTCATCCTTTATTTAATGTAATTCGTACTTTTGAACTCTTAAAATTTTATCTTATCAATGAAATTTTTTAATTCCCAACACAGCCAGAAACAAGCGATAACGACATTGCATTAGTGCGTCTTGTTCGACCAATCACATTTAATGACAACAAACGTCCAGTTCGCTTACCGAATCGTCGTCAAGTTAATCAAAACTTTGATAATCGACAAGCACGATTTAGTGGATGGGGTGCGATGGGATTTCCAGGAACTTCGCCAATAAGATTTCTGCAAGTTGCATTTGCACAAGTTATTTCACAAGCTGCATGTCGTATTCGTTTCCCAAATTCATCATCTGATAGAACAATTTGTATTGTAAGTTTTAAATTATCCTGTAATTGGTTTAATTTCTGATTTATTAATTTATTTAAGGATGGAACAACTACCAACATTTGTAGTGGCGATTTCGGTGAGTTAAACTTTTAATTAAAATTCTCTGAAATTTAATTGTTAAAAAAATTATTGAAAAGGTGGACCAATGACGATTGAAGATGCTGACGGAATCACAACACAAATCGGTGTCGCTTCATTCGTTAATGTTCTCGGATGCACTTTTGGATGGCCAGGCGGCTTTACTCGTATTAATCAATATTTAGAATGGATTGGACAAAACTCTGATGTTGTCATTCGTGATGATTTTTGAATGAAATAAAAGTTTTCTTTTATTTATGGTTTTCATAAAAGATATTTTATTTAAAATATTTGATTTTTCTTGTTTTGATGCTTAACTTTGTGAATTACATAAATCTCGTAAACTAAAATTGGAAAAAGAATCTACAAATTAATATTTTTATGATAATACTAAACGTACTGAGTTGAGGTTTAAAACTTTCTGACTTCGAATCTAAAATTTTGATTAAATTAAAATGTCAATTGTCAAAAGCTACAAATTTTCTGTTTTGTTTTTTGGCAGATTTTACAATGTTGAAACTTTATCAAAAATCAAAGTCTTTGAGTTGTAGTCTGAATCAGGAATCTCTCAATTTTATTATCATGAAATGAACGATAGAAATTGATACAGTAAATGCTTCACAAATGTAGACTCAATAAGTACATAAGCTGAAATTATTTTCGAATAAAGTTGCTAGAGATTTACACTCCATGAATGAAAAATTCTGTAATTGTGTCCCTCTTCAGTTTGCATTTATGAAGCATGCACTGTAATTTTAATCTTTCATTTCTCATCCATTCCAAGATCTAAATCTTACACAACTAACATTCAATATCTTTCATTTCCAATGCATTCTAAGGTACTAAGTCTAAATTCATGAATTTCTTATTAAATTAATTCTTTTAATTAAAGAAAGTTTATTCCTGTTGATTGCTTTTCATAAAAATTTGATGATTGTTTGGAGAGAACTTCAAAAGAAATTTCAGTTCTCTTGATCTTGACCACCAACAACAGAATATTCTGAATTCTAATTTTCCTTTATTGATTTGATTTTACTTAATAAATAAATTTGATATTAAATTCCCTTCAACTCGTTTAAATGATTATTTATGAAAAAGAAATGTTGGATGTCACATGAAACGCAGTAAATCCTTTAATTGAATGAATATTAACAAAGAAACCTTATAATTGTCATGCTCCCTTCATAGCTAATTTAATGAAAATATTCTATGTAAAGATACGAAGAAATTATTTATAAAATGTGATAAAAAAATAAAATATAATTTCTTTGCTGTGAAATTCTGCAAATCGCGATTTGAGATTTTGTTTTAATCTTTTTGATTTCTTTTTTCATTTACTGAAAAGATGTGTGAAAATACTTCCTTAGATATTTATGGATTGAGTCAACATTTCTAATCTTAATTAATTATTGTTACATAAAACTATTGCTACTAAATACACTGTTATTAAAATTTGTTGCCGCGGATATGCAGAAGTTAAAAGTCTTACACACTTGGTGTCGATCTTTTTCTTTTAGGATTATTATGTGGCATGTAATCGTTATCTTTAGGATCATCCATGTCATCAATCAAATCATGCAGACTCATTGGAACCATCATCTGACGATTCTCTGTCGATCTCGCCAATTGTGATGGTGATTTTGCATATTTAGGAAGTAACTTACGAAGTTGAATCTCAAAAAATTTCTCAAGTTCTTGGGCTTGTAAATAAGATTTAGAATCCATCTGAGAATGAAATTTGATACATTTTAATCCATCAAAACAGTTTTTGATTTAAAAAATAACTTAAAACTTACGCCATAAGAAAGAAAAGCATTCGTGAACATTTGACGACAGTCGTCGATGAAGCTTTGAACACTTTGATAATGTTGCATGTGATTAGGATCGAGCTTTTCACGAATACAATTTAAAGATATCGGACTGAAAAAGACAAATATTAATTATTTTACGTTAATTTCATTTAGAATTGAGTAAACTTACTTGCAAACGTTTTCATAATAACTTTTGTTTGTTTCAACTGGCGGTAATACTCGAAATTCTGAGCTTAATTCAAATTGACAGAACATTTCAAGAAGTATACGTTGAAGAACTTTTAATTCATAAGTTGACAATCCAGGTCCTCGTTTTTCTCCTGGTTGATCTAACAAAATTAAAATATTTGAACAAATTTTCAAGGGGTAGGAAAATTTCAGGGGTTAGCGATGGTAACAAATTATCAACCCCTGGAATTCTTCTAAGAAATCAAAACAAAAATTTCTTACCTAAAGCAGCATCAGCAAAGTTATAGCATAATAAACATTGCCATGTTTCTGACTCTTCTGGAAGTGAGCTTATGACAGGAATGTGACAAGCTTGATGGAATACTTTTGGACATTTATCGCAACACATTAATTCCCCACCATCCATGCAACAAGCGCACCAATCTTCATTAGGATCGTCTTTTGGTTGATTATTCTTATCGATTGTAACATTTGCATCCATTGCATCGGTTGAACTATGAACTTGAGGTGATGTAGCTTTATGTCGTCCTTCGGGAAGAACTTGAACGCCATTTGAATCAAGTTTTGCAATTGTTGCAAGCAAATCATTCACAGTATCAGAACAAACACTATCAATACTGTCAAGATCTTTCTGTTGATCTTTTTGACTCGGTGATGGAGTCTTTGGATTTGTTGATGATACATTGGGTAATGGAAAACTTCCCGATGTTATTGTTGTTGTTCCAGTCGTTGGTGTTGGTTGATTTCTCAAAGTATCTGGCGATCTCAAAGGAATTTTGAATGAATCTGGAAACAATGAAGCATTTGTTGGCGGTGACATTGCCATTCCCATTAAACTCGTCGTCCCATTACTTCCTTGATTTGTTTGCTTTTGTTGTGGAGTATGCCATTTAGCTCCACCGCCACTTGTCGATTGCTGTTGTTGTTGTTGCTGTGATTGTTGTTGCAGCTGCTGCTGCTGTTGTTGAATTTGAGGAATCATTTGTTGCGGTGTCACATTGGGATTAAATGTTGATTGCTGTGGTGGAACAACCATCGATGATTGTTGCGATTGTCCCGATGAAAATCGCATTCCAGTTGTCTTCATATTTGGCGGCATCATGTTTGGCTGTTGTCGCATTTGATTCATCATTTGACGTGCATTGGTCATATGTTGATATCTTTGCATTGCTGTCTGTTGCATTGCATTTGTTGGCGGCATTTGAGCGCCATTCTGTTGTGGATTGCTATTTGCATTAAAATGCGAAGCATTATTCATGTAAGTATTTCGCATTTGTTGCATTGCTGCTTGCTGTTGTTGTGTTGTCATGTTACGTGTATCAAGCATCGGTCCTGGACCATAATTTGCCATTGGTCCGTGATTAAATTGTTGTGAGTTTTGATGGCTTAAAAGTCCACGAAGGTTGTCTATGAAGATTACAAAGGAAAATATGAAAATTGATTATCACAACAATTATGAAAATGCGAAAAATCTCACCGTTTCCCATCGAAGGATGAGTTGAAGAGCTGACATGAGGTTGTGGTGGTCCCATAGCTGGATGTGGCATTGGGAATCGAGTAGAGTCGCCAGGAAAATTTCGCATGCCTTGTGGAAATTGCGGACTTGACGAAAACATTCCTGGATTGTTGTTGTATCCAGTATTTGGAGGTGGTTGTGGAAGAAGCGGCCGTAACGGTGGCGTAACAGTCGGCGATTGTCTTTGTCGTGATGATTGCTGTTGAGATCGATGTTCGACTTGTTGCGCCATTTGTTGGAGTGGATTCGCTGGTGGATTCAATGTTGGTGGTGTCACTGTGCCTGTTGGAGCAGCAGGAGCTGGAGGATAAACCTTCCCATCAACTAAAATCGTTCCAATCCGTGAAATGACTGAAAGAAATTTAAAATTAAATTAAAATTCTACGAGCAAAAATGAAATTTTACCATTCTCAAGTTCTGGAACATTTGACAGGAAAAGTTGAACACGAACTGGAATTTCTGGATTGGGAATATCAGCTCGTTGACACTTCACCTTGTTGAGATGTCTGGAGAGAGTCTTTTTACTGTAGAGAACAGCGCTGTCGCTGCCAATTTCGAGAGCATTCTGAACGAAGTTAATACAATGATCTGTGTGACCGCTGAGCTGTTGAAGCGCATCTTTCTTCTCATTTAGGACTTGAAGCTTGTTTTCACATACTTGAGTTAATCGAAACAGAAGCTGCTTTCCTCGACTACTCACAGCACTTGCCAATTTCGCCACCAAATCGTGAATTTCCTTCGAGAGTTCAGTTTTCTTCTCAGCGATGAGCGATTGTCGATCATCAATCACTTTCATAGCACTTGTAAGCAGAACTTTCTTGTATGAGATTTCCTGAAGTAAACCTTGCAAATGATCGCGCGTTTCTTTCGCCATTTCATTAGCAAATTTAAATCGATGCTCACGATGCTCCATCAATTGACAATCTCGACATGTCAAACGATCACACGTTTGACAGTAAACACTTAAAATTTCCTGTGGATGTGTTTGACATTTAATCTCTTTTTTTGTATCTTGATCACTTTTATTCTCAGCAGCATCTTTCGACTTTATTGTATGGTCTTTGGTTATTTTAAGACGTTGATGTGCAGCGACACAATTGTCGCAAATAAGCTCTGAACAGTCGACGCAATAACTTGTCGCTGGAAATTCACATTCATTTGCACATTTTGCAGTTTCTTCAGCTGATCCTGACGAAGATGTTCCACTTCCATTTGTTGCATCATCGACTTGCATTGAATTTAACATCTCGATGAGAAAGTGATTATTAATTATATAATCGCTTCGATTATCCATTTTGCAGAGTGGACACGTAATTGTGAGAACATTGCAGCTCTGATTTTGTGTCACGGCCTTCAATTGTTCTTGCTTCAAACAACTCTCGCAACAACTGTGAAAACATTCCAACAACTTTGGACGATCATTTACAGTCAATGTCTGCTGGCACCAGCAGCAGTTCTTTGAAATCACGATTTCCTTGTCGGCGACTTGTTGATCAACAATCTTAGCAGAAAAAAATAGAAACGAGAGGAGAGTTTTTAAGTGGCACACTGTGAACATTCAATCGACAATAAATAAAGTTTATAAGGGTAAAGTTATGTTTAGTTTTCCTTTCCCATGAGCATCAAACACGCTTGTCATAGTTAAAAACCACTTGAAACTAACATGAAACAAACAAAACTTTCATTGTATTGGGGATTTGACTTTACCAAAAGGTTTCCAGTGACATTCACTTGTTGAGATTTCACTGTACAAGTTTTAAATACGAAAAAGAAGAAGCAAAACTCTACCGCAGGTAGAAAACTTTAAAAATAGTTTCTATAGATTAATGAAACTTGAGACGATAAAGAGCTTAAAGCAGCCAAGGTTGAAGAAATCAAGCCGCCCCATAGCACACAGGATTACATGTTTTAACATTCACTGAACCAAAAAATCATGAATGCAACGAACGTTACGCCCGACTTAATCTTCTCAGAAATCATAAAAGAAATATCAGCTTAAAAGAGAACTCGTGATAAAATAAATAATAAAAAAGACGAAAAAAAATGTAATAAAAAAAAATGAAAACGAAGTTAATAAAACTTAGCGAGAGCTTTTACGAATACATACATTCGTGATCACATCTCAGGGTTCAACGGCAATAAAAAAAGAGAAAAAATTTAAAATTCAACAAATTAAACATTCGAGGCGTTTCTTCTTCTTATTCTGCTTTTTTTCCACTCGAATTTTCTTCTTCAATTTTGACATAAACTTGAAAGTTTTTTTTTCCTTTTTTTATTTCTTTTGTTACTTATGTGGCGACGCTGCAAGCGATCATTACTGAAAATATGATCTTTTTGATCTTTTCAGTCTGCAAAATATCATGAAGGATGCCATAAATAATTATTTTTCTTTAAATCTGTTTATTCTTCGTGAGAATCTACAAACTCTGCAGCTTTTTCTTTTCATCTCTTGACAGTAAGATTAATGTAAATTGACATCTTTGTGAGATTTAATTCATTCTATAAAGCATTTATACAAAGGGGATTTTTTTAAATTAGATAAATGAATGAAAGAACTCAAACAAACAAAAGACATCAGCATGACGTCGCATAAACATGAACTTTTACAAAACGGCTGTTTCTTCATTTCTTTCTATCATTCTCTTCCTTACTACATGTCTGCATTCAGCCCCGCATTATTCAAACAGAAAACATAACCAACCGGAAATCTCCATCAACCTTTGACAATATAATTGAAGTCACTCATACAAACTAAAATAAGTTGAACACTTACGAAGCGGAATAATTGAGATACAATGAAGAAGAAAAAAAAAGAGCTTTTGGATCGTAGGCGTGCAGTTGTGGGATTTTTAAACCTCACATATATGCATCAATAAATAAAGATTTTTTTATATAAAATCCAACAAATCTTAGCACTTCGTTTAAGAAGGGAATTTCCATTTCTGACAGTAAAATAAATTATTCAATTAGAAAGAAATTATTTTTCTAAGCAATGATTTTAAAGAATTTTAACATCATTAACATTAAATTACCAGAAAGAGCCAATTAATTTTAATTATCAAAAGAATCTGCTTCGAAAAGCACCGCAGTAAGCTCATTCTCGCAAACAACATTAACAATTCTTAATTGAAATTTTCGGAGCATGACATGGTAAGGCGAGAACAAAATAAATAAAGAGCGAGATGAAAGATCGCCAGGTGCAAAATTGTTCGAGGATAGAAAAAAAAAGAGAATAAATAGAGAAAAGCTGAAATAATCCCAACTGTTAAGTTCTCTTGATTGTAAAATGATTTAGCGTCACAGCAGGAGGAAGCATAAAGGTCTTAAATTGAAGTTTGATATTCCAGCGATTTCTGTTCATGTTGAGAACAGTTTTCCTTGAATCAGTATGTGGTAACAACAGGATCAGGGAAATTTAATGATTATGATTCGAGAAACTTAGATCAATATGAATTTATCATCTTCATTATAATGATTGTTGGACTGTGGCCACAGGCCTACTTCAAATCTCAGAGAAATGCTTAAAAATATCGCTAACGCAATTCATTCATTATCATTATGTGTTTTTGTGGGGGCGAAAAGCCATGAAAAAGAAAAAACAACAACAAATCATTAATTATTAAAAAATTGTAAAACGTCAGTTTGAGAATGAAAACTTAAGAGCAAATGTGTGGGTAGGATCGCAAAAAGATACGAAATTTTCGATTATTTTTAAATATGGAATGTGTGACAAACAACTGGATACGTGTAGGAGAATCCCTCACTTTAAAATATTTATAAAAATTCTTGAATTGTAATGAAACGGAATTCCAATGACTGAGCTTTTGATTTCACCTCCCTTTGATTTGCACAATTTAATTAAAGTGTAGGTTGACGTTTTTAATTTTTAGTCATACTTTTATTTTATTTTATCATGAGTAAGCAAAAGTCGTAAAGGAATGAAAAAAGAGAAATTTTCGTAAGATATTTTAATGATTCTGGTTAAATTATCAGCTTGATGAAAGTCTGAGTTAGGGTCGAAAGACGTTGAATGAAAGGAAATATTTTAAAACATCTGCCAAACACAGAGATGAATAAAAAGCTTTGAATTGTATGTAATTCCACTTAAGCAGGGAGGATTAAGGAGATAAAAAAAATTATAAATGGAATTCACTGAGATCACGGGCATCACGCAAATAGAAGAAAAAAAGTCGATGGCGGCATCATCAACATTGGAAATTGGTTAATTCATTTTTTCATAGCACCGGAAGGAAGCTAAATGGATGTTTTACATGCGGCTTTCTATTCACTAACATCCACACGCACTTACTTTTTTCTCGACGCTATCGGGCGAACTATCTGGTGCTGCTTGGCTGCTATTATTGTTGTTGTTATTTGAATTATTTTCATTTGCATCGGAAACTGAGGTCGGCTCATTTTTTTCTTCCTTTATATTGATAGACACATATTCCATATCGTTATCCATTGTTTGACAATATTTTTTATCGTCTTACATCACTTTCACACACAAAACTTTGCAAAAATATGAAGCACTAAAATTCAAGAAATATTTTTCCGATGTTGTCGATTATCCGTCTACACAAGACGTCGTCGAATAAGTCAAACTTTCTAAATTTCGGATAAACAAAGAAAACAAAATTTTATACGAAAATCTTCGATTCAGTTTTTTCTTTCAGCTCTTGATGATAAAACTAAAATATTAATGAGTAACACGATCGATTTTAATCAATTGGGGATCGTGGAGCCCAATCAGAAGATCAAACATCTGGTATCATTGGGAAGTAATGTTGCTCTTGATCCCAATCAAAAAATTTTAAGGTGAGAAAATTTGAAGAAAAATTTATGAATCATCGGAAAATAAATTTTATCATTCGTCAGATACTATCGTTCTGGAAACGAGCTTTATAGACAAGCTAAAGTTTACCTTTCTGAAGGTGACTACTCAAATGCTTACATACTCTTTATGCGATTTCTAACACTCTTCGTCGAGAAAATTGTGAAACATCCGCAAATCAAAGAAGTTCCAGCTGATGTCAAGAAAGGCAATAAAGCTAAACTTGCTGAAATTCTACCAATAACTGAGAATCTCAAGAAACAACTTCTCGCACAATATGAACGTGAATATGAACAATATTTAATTGACCAGGAAAATGAAATGAAACGAGCTTTAGAAGAAGCCAAACGACAAGTAAACATTTAATAATTTCACTCATTTTCCTTTCTCTTGACCTTATTTTTCTTTTCAGGAAATTGAAGAGGCAAAAAATCGAAATGATAATCGTAATAATAAACCAAATCCGTCATATATTCAACCACCATTTGTTCCATCGGCACCGAATTTAGCTGACTTGGATCAAATTGTTTATCCTAATGAATTTCCCTATGCAGACCCACCTAAGTCATCTGGTCTGTTGCCTGGAACTAGACCAACATTCGATCGTTCGGCAAAACCTTCTCTTTCCTTTATTGAGGGTGGATTAAGAACGGTGAAAATTCCTGACGATACTATGAGAAAATTTTTAGAAGTCGCTCGACCGAATACTCTGAAAAATGTTGAAACTTGTGGAATTCTTGCTGGACAATTAAAACAACATCAACTACTGGTAACGCATGTGATATTGCCAAAGCAATGTGGAACATCTGATTCATGTAACACGATGAATGAAGAAGAGATTTTTGATATTCAAGATCAATTGAATCTCATAACGCTTGGTTGGATTCATACGCACCCTTCACAAACAGCTTTCCTAAGCTCAGTCGACTTGCACACGCAAGCTGGATACCAAATAATGATGCCGGAGGTCAGTATTAGAAATTTATTAACATATAATGGAAGATTAAATATTCTCATCTTAGGCTATCGCGATCGTTTGCTCTCCGAAGCATGAAGAGCAGGGTTTCTTTACTCTTACAACAAGTGGCCTCGATTTTATTTCAAAATGTACGCAAACAGGTTTTCATCCTCATCCAAGTGATCAGTTTATGGAAGCAATGCATTTTAATTTGTCATCGACGATGCAATGTTCAATCGTCGACCTTCGTGTACGGTAGTTGTAAAGTTTGATTGAACTTATTGACGATTGACACAATCTTTCCTACTGATAATTATGAAGTGCTCTACTGTGAAAAGATGTGAAATTGATTTTATTTAAGCTTCCTTTTAAAATGCTGCGAGAATTTTTTTTATTATGTTAGTTTTGTTGAGTCGCTTTATTTCTGGCTTTAATAAATGTAACCGTCGTTTAAAATTTAAAATAATTTCAACAATTTCTAAGTGATGTCACAATATTTATAACTTTTATTATGAAAATTAAAAGATTCGCTTTACCAATTCATGTATTAAACATTTATTCTATTTATTTCATTAAATTTAGTATTCTACATTAACTTTAATTCTCCTTTTACATAAATGATTATAAATGATGAATAATTTTATTTTAAAGTGTCGTCATTGTGGATCAAACCTGATAATTTTCCTTAACTTAGCGTAGATTAACAAAACACTTTAAAGTATGTACAAGACAGAATTTAATTTTTATAAGTAAAACATTTATTTAAATTAAGTTCTACAAGAAGTTTAAAGTTAATATAGTGTTATATTCGTAGCAATAGTGAATACGTGTTCAATCTCTGAAGAAAAGTATTGATTAAAAAATAAAAATGAGTGCCGAAGAACGAAAAACAAATTTTCTAGTAGGACTTCTTCAAAAAGTTCGATGTCAGGAGGTAAAAATTACATATTCATGACGTAAAATGTTATCAATATCACGAGGAGCCCATGCAGTTATACACTGGAGGGAATGTCCGATAAGAGAAAACGTCAAAATTTCCCATTTTATCAAACTGATTCAACCTTCAAAATCTTTTGAATGTCGTGAAAATGTATCGAATGTTTTTACATAAATAGAATGTTTTCCACATCATCATCGCAAATGCTATCACAAAAAAATACAAAATTGCGATAGAAAAAACGAGACAAGAAATCGCCGGTATCTGTGCGTGATTTATACAGAAATAATGTATTAGAACTCAATAATTTATTGAACTGGCTCATCCACTATCGGTAATGCAAAAAACAGAAAATAACTGCAAACAGATGTAAATAATCACACGAGATGAAAATGCGACCACTTTTGTTTTTGCGCGCTGGAACTTTGCCAGCAATTTTATGTTGTTACAAGTTTACTTCAACATATGCTTACACCTATTTATAGTCCTTTAGATTATATCTCTATGTAAAGTATGACATTGAAACTAAATTAAAAGGGTTCGTATTCATGAAAGTTAAGTCTCAAATTTCCTTTCACTCTGTTGAAAATGTTGATATTAATCGCGATGTCAAGTATTTAATCGATGTTTCTAATTTTGGAGTCACACGTGACTTTTCTCACTTTAAAATATTTTCTTATTTTCCTTGAAGATGTGTTTATTCGCCAACGATCACCCACTGAATATTCATTACTCAATTGTGATCATTTAAGTTTTCCCATCTCGTCTGTGCGATTTTTCTCTCGCGGAATTTTTACTTTTTTTTGTTTCTCAACGATGAAAAAACTTTTTTCTTCCTCACATAAAATCGTATTGTCTGAGTTAGTTTCACTTGAGATATCAGCGATGTGAGCAAGTCGCCGACAAAGCTACAAGTTGCAGTTTATATTATTCTCTTGACAATCAAATTAGTAATTAAATTTCCGTTGCAAAAATGGCATCAAGTGAAAAAGTGGTAGCGCCATTGCCGCTTGTACCAGTATCAGAAACTTCAAAAGAGGTTCGTAAATAAATTCAAGGTGTTCACTCTTCATTCCTTCATTATGTAACGGGTTGAAAGCGAACCTGAATAGGCAATTACTGGATTCAAAGACTTGATTTTGTTGTTAACTTTATTTGTCAAGTTGAATCAACAACTTGAAATTTCATAACGATTTTCATTGATTGATTTATTATTTTTCCACTCACTGACCTCTAAAATGCGACCCGTATGAAAATCTCCGTGAAAAGCTTCGGAGAATGAAAAAAAGAAAGATTTTTTTGAGTAAAAGAGAAGAAAAAATTGCGTAGCTGAAATAAAATAAAAAATGTTACAACTTTAAAAGATTCTTCTAGCGATAGAAAGATAACAAAAACATTTAAACAAATATTGTAATTTGTGTTCCAAACAAAAACGTAGATGCACAATATTGCATTAAACAACAATTTGTGTTTGTGATAATTCATTTTATTTGAATCATCATGGGACTTTTAAATGAGAACACTTGTTGTGCATTGATGTGAAAAGTTATGAAAAATTATCAGAATGCAAATGTTTTCTTCTCGATGGGAAAGAAATATTAAGTTAAATAGAAAATTATCAGCTGTTAACTCTGCATGTTCTGTCTGCCCTTGAAAAATCAATTTTCTACCTAGACAGTCAGTTATCAGCGCTTCAATACTTCGTTACATTAATGAATGTCACATTTCTTATCTTTTTGTAACTATTTCCAAAATTTCCTTAAAATAAAAAAAAATTACCACAACTTGAATTCCCAAACTTTTCAAAAGTTGCATTAAATAAATCTAACACAAATTTTCCTTCTTGGTTGGATGGTCAAACTTTGTTTTTCGTGTAGAAAAGACAAATTTTGATTTCTAGAAAACTTTCTCTAATTAAAGAAGTTTAAATTAATTTAAAGTTTGTTACAAACAGCATTAACGCCATTGGCCATTCACGTCATAAACAAGAATTGAAAACATTTTGTTATCATTATTGTACAGTTCCGATTACAACGATAATGATGATGCATTGACGTAACGACCTTGTTGGTCTTTAATTTCTCGTTTAACAACAACAAGGAGACTCATGTCATGTTTCAAGTGTTTTAATAAATAATCAATATGGAAAATATGAAGGTTTTTGAGTTTCCTTAAAGATTTTCTTAAGAAGTTTTTAAAATTCAAGAATTTTATAAAATTTTCTTTCAATTTCTTCCCTCAGGGTTCATCATATCTCAAGCGTGCAACGACATCAAAACTTCGCGAAATTTTCGAAAAGTATGCAACGAAAGAACTTCGCGGTGAACGTGTCATGTCCACTGAGGATTTTGTTCGCAATTTCCTCGGCATTTTTCCTGATGAAAACTATAATGAGGTAAGCTCTTGACATTGATGTTTGTACTCGTTAATGTTGTTGCTTCTTATCGCAACGAAACAAAGTTCATTGATCTACTTCCAAGCATTTATTATTGTGATTTTATTTTTAGGAATCAGTTTATTTGTTGGCTGGTGTTGCTGACACAAATAAAGATGGTTCAATATCATTCTCAGAGTTTCAAGCATTTGAGGGTCTTCTCTGTCAACCTGACGCACTTTACAAGACCGCATTTCAATTGTTCGATAAAAATGGCAACGGAATGGTCACGTTTTGTAAATTGAATTATTTTATCTAATTTTGTTCTTCCTTTTTTCAATGTTTTTTCTCATTTTCAGCCGAATTTGCTGCAGTTATTAAAAAAACAGAGCTTTATGCAAAAGTTCCATTCAAACTTGATGGACCATTTACAGAACTTTATTTCGGTCGTGATCGAACACGTGCCATCAGTTATTCAGAATTCTCACAATTCTTACATGACTTTCACGAAGAATGTGCACTTGAAGCATTTAAATTGAAGGATCCAAACCGCTCCGGTTACATCACAGCATTAGATTTTCAGGACATTATGTTGAATGTTAAAAAGCATTTATTGACGGCTGAAGTGAAAGATAATGTGTTGCAGGTGAGAAATGCAATGAATTTTAATTTAATTAACTAATGAATGAAACTTTTAAAGGTGACTGAAGGCAAGAAAGTCAGTTTTCCTTATTTTATGGCTTTTTGTTCACTTTTGAACAACATGGAATTGATCAAGAGAGTTTACTTGAATGCAACCAGCGGAAATCGTCTCGAGCCAATCACTAAAGATGAGCTTCTTCACTCAGCACAAACAATGTCACAAATAACGCCACTAGAAATTGACATTCTCTTTCAACTCACCGGTGCCATTCATCAACATGGGTAAGTTTTTCGGTTCTTTCCTTAATGTCGCTCATTAATTTTCTCATTTCTAACAAAATAAAATAAAAAATTATCGAAAATAAAACAAAAATTTTTCCGCGACTTTCTTTTCCTTATCAAAACAAACCAAACAATTGAAAATCATTTCAAAAGTTGGTTAAAGCGAACATTGAGTGACGACACGAGGCAAGTCGATAAAAAATTCTTTCTTCATTTCACCAGCACAATTTTTTATATTTTTGTTTGAATTTCCTCAATTAATCGATTTCTTGAGTATTTAATTTTCTAAATGATTTTATTACATTATTTTTGAAGTTTTTGTCAAGAACGTTTTGCAAAACTTTTCTTAAAAACATTTCAGACGAATCGTTTATAGCGATTTATCAAACATTGCACCTGAGAATTACATAAAGAAGATTACAGCGCGATTAACTGACATCAAAGCTGTTGAGACACCAGCTGATCGTTCAGCTTTCATTGCAATCTTAGAAAGCGCATATCGTTTCACTTTGGGTTCAGTGGCTGGCGGTGAGTTCAATTATTGAGAGTTTGAACGTTGAAACTTTGATTATAATCAGATTTTGTTTTTATTTTACAGCTGTTGGTGCGACTGCTGTTTATCCAATCGATTTAGTTAAAACTCGTATGCAAAATCAACGTTCTGGTCCAATCGTTGGGGAATTGGCTTACAGAAACTCTTTGGATTGTTTCAAGAAAGTTGTCAGACATGAAGGCGTTCTTGGACTGTATCGTGGTTTGGTTCCACAATTACTTGGAGTTGCACCTGAAAAAGCCATCAAACTCACAGTTAACGATCTTGTCCGTGATAAATTTATGGATAAGCAAGGATTTCTCCCACTTTGGTCTGAATTTCTTGCCGGCGGTTGTGTAAGTTTGACTTGCAATCATAAAAACATTTCCAATTTAATTCTTTTTTAAACCTTTAACAGGCTGGCGGTTCTCAAGTTGTCTTCACAAATCCTCTTGAAATTGTGAAAATTCGTTTACAAGTAGCTGGAGAAATGGCAGGTGGCGCAAAGGTTCGTGCATGGAGCGTCGTGAAGGAACTCGGACTGTTCGGTCTTTACAAAGGTATGAATAACTTTGGGATGGAAATTAAACAAATAATTTAATTAATGAAATGAATTTAGGTGCTCGTGCTTGTCTTCTTCGTGATGTCCCATTTTCAGCAATTTATTTTCCCGCCTACGCTCATGTGAAAGCATCATTTGCTGATGAAGACGGGTAGGCTAACAAATAACAGCAATATTTATTATCTAACTCAATGTTTTCTTAATGCCTTCAGTTACAATCATCCTCTGTCTCTTCTTGCCGCTGGTGCAATTGCTGGTATTCCAGCAGCGTCTTTAGTGACACCAGCTGATGTTATTAAGACACGATTACAGGTTGTAGCGAGGTCAGGACAAACAACGTATACGGGTGTGATTGATGCAGCAAAGAAAATTATGAGAGAAGAAGGTCCAAAAGCTTTTTGGAAAGGAACAGTTGGTGAGTAAACTTGCTTTGTGCTCCCCCCTTAAGAATCTTCCAATGGGAACACATTTTGTGCGTTTCCATTGTACGAAAGTTGTTATTCATTTTCCTTTAAAAATAAATTTAAATAACAATCCTTGAATCCTTTCCACATCTCCACACTCATAGTTGGAGACTCCTCACTATCAATGTCTCGTTCAACTCCGCTATTCTTTACATTTTTAACAATAACCTTCTCCTTACCATTGCTAATAGCTCGAGTCTTCCGATCATCACCACAATTTGGTGTGACGCTTGTGACTTACGAATTGCTTCAACGAACATTCTACGTTGACTTTGGTGGTACGCGTCCAACAGGGTCCGAATCACAGAAGCCTGGCGTACCTTCGTTATTATCTGGAAAAACTGATAATCCTGACCATATTGGAGGCTATCGTGCCGCTGTTCCAATGATTAATGGAATAGAAACCAAATTTGGTTTGAGTTTACCACGTTTTAAATCAACGATAACTGCCGAATCGTTTAAGACACAAAAATCGTGATTCTGGAAAAGAAATTAAAACAATTGATAGAAAGAAATTAAAATTAGTTTCTAATTGTATTTGTTGATAAGATTTAAAAGTTTAGTTTGGTGATTTTTGTTTGAAGAGAAAATCGAAGTGAAATTAAAATCATGAGAAAAGAAAATTCTGACGTTTCTAATAAGGAAAAAAAAAATTTTAATTAACATTTTTCCAATGATTTTATTCGTTAATTTTCTTTTCAATCACCAAACATTGACTTTGTGTTTAAGAACGAAAAAACAAGAAAAAAATGTTAAAATGTTAATTTTCTCTCACATTAAATATTTGTCACAGTTAAATCACGTCCAGCTTTTGTAAATTCATTTATTTTTATTCAAATAGGAAGAATGCTTGTTTCATATGCAATGAACCTGTAAAATATTATGACGAGCGTCAACAAGACGTTTGCAGTTAAACATGAAAGCATAACTTCCGTAATATATTCTAAATTAAATGTTGTTATCTACTAAACCTTAAAAAGGTGTTTGTTCTTGATATAAACTCAATATTTGTAAATGTTCTAGAAAACTTATAAAAAGAATATCTCAAACATGAAGTAAAAGTTCAAAATTCAAATTAAATATTTAATGTAGCTTAGGCTATCACTAAAACATCTATTTTTGCACAAAAAACTGTACAGCATGGACATCAATTTTATTTTTAATTCAATTTTGTTCTTATTTTTACTTGTGATAGATAAGAAAATGAAACTTTTTGTTGGACTCAATTAAAATGTTAAATAATGATAAAGAAAAATTTGCTGCTGACCTCATTGAAGTTTATTTTATTAAATAATTTTACCATTTTTATAGGACACCGATGGTAACAAAAAGTCAATATTTAAAAAAAGAAAGCACAATGAATGCAAAAAGCTTTTGACTGTCGCAATGAAAAATAAATGAGAGAAATTATTGAAAATAAAATTCAAATGATTCACTAAATTCTTAATTTTATCTTTCTCAAAAATGATTATGAATTGATTGACAGAGAGGAAAAGGTATATGAATGAAAGAAGGTAATCAAAGCTGATTAGAAGATTTTTCAATCCTCCCGAAATGTAAATTAACAATATTTTACGGACCCATTCAATAATTTGTCTATATTTAGATTTTCCTTCTTAGTAGTAAACATTTCCTAAAATCTTCTTTCACTTTCTACCTCTGTTTGCAAAACTTCTTTTGATGTCAAAAGGAAATGCCGGAAGCGTGGGTGGAATTGTTTATCACGCGATAGTAAGTTAACATTAATCAAGCTATTTAACACATAAAAGTGTTTTCATGCTTATATTTCGTATTTTCTCTGTCCATTTATGATGACACGAAAGATGTCATTGCATACGTAATTAATAACTCATAATACATAATTAATAATTTTCATCAAAATAACAACTCAATCAGTAGCAGTTGACATGAAATTGTTTTCGTTATGCTCCAATCATTTGGCTATTAACTACCCATAGAAATGCAGTTTTAATTTGCAATGACAGATGAACGGATTTGCAAACGATATTTGGATCAATGTTCTGGCAAAACGCATTTTAGGGTCAACGAAAACAAATTTTTTTTCTATAAATCTTGTTACTAGCCATAACAATAGCATCAGTATTTGTAGTTCTATCGAACAGTTCAATCGTGTGACTAACTAAATAAGTTTAATTCGATATGGGAGTTGTTACATGGTGTTTTGTTGCACTTTCACTTCTTCGAATCTTTGTAGATTCTAAAAGCATCGGATGTGAAGTTCCATCGACAGAAAAACGATTTATAGAGAACTTCAATAAACTTCTTGATCAGAAATCATTTAGAATCGTAGAGGGTATTTCAATGAAGAAACGTGATGATTTTAAACTTGCTTTCAATCGTACGGAAGAATCTAAAACTCAAAAATGCGATGACTTGTCACAGACTTTGATAACGGAAACGAAAGAAAGATTGAAACAAGTGATAAACACTCATGTTCTCGAGTTCGATCTTGCAAAATTATTTATAGAAGGTAATCAATATAAAGTGCTTTTGATATGAAATGACATTAAAAATCAAGTTTAATATGAAATTTCAAGTTAAAGCTTTCTCACGTAGTGCGCATTATCCGCGAGAAATTTCAGTTTTCACTTTTCCACATTTTCCGTTGTACATATTTATTACAAGTTGTAACATAAAAAATATGTTTCTTATAATTGAAATTGATTTTATTACAACAGCTTAATATCCGTGTTCGGTTATTAACGTCTGAAAGGATTTTAATGAGTTAGAAGTTTAGGTCAATATGTCACAATAAAACAAAAATTTGTTTCCATTTTTTATGGTAACTGTGCGATTAATATTTGTTGATATTTAAGTAGCTTAGGTTATGAGTTCATTGTTTCAACTTCATTTACGTTAATTTTCCGGTGTACCAGATAACGCTTCAACCAGCTCCGCTCCCCGTCGTCGACGTAAGCATCAAGCTGTATCGATGGTTCTTATGGGCATAACCGTCTTCTTAATGGTATTTGTTCCAATGGGATTTCAATTTCTTGCAGCTTTAGGCGGAAAAGCGTTTCTAATGGCAAAATTGGCTTTGTTACTCGCGAGCGTTAATGGACTCAAGAGGGTAAATCATAATTTTATTCTCAATTCAATTGACGACAGTAAAAATAATTTAAAAAAAATTTTCATTTAAAAAAAGAATTTAGTGATAGCATCAAATTGAAACGATATGTCATAGATAAGCATTCAAATTCAACACATTCAATTTCCTTAAAACGATTTTAGGTAGCAAATAGCGGCGTGCATTATGGGTGAGTAGGTCGCTTAAGTTGTAGCAAAATTGATGATGATTGGATTTGCTTCAGCTTATATCACTCTCTACCTGAGCCTGGCTTGCATCATCATCCTTATGGATATGACCGGAATGATGGTCCTCGAATGAGTCTTAAATAAATGTCATAATGTTCAGAAAGTTTTCGATTATGTTCGTATTAAATAAAAAAGCGTTGACGAAATATTTTGTTTTATTTTCTGATTGCGTCAATGCAGATATTAAATAACTTTAGACAGATTTTACATAACTGCAATTAAGAAAACATATAAAATCGTAAGGTGTTCGTTCAATGCATTTAAAAGTGAAAAACAATTCAACAATGAAAATTTGTAGTGAAAAAACAGATGTGACTTGAATTTTCATTCATAAAATTCGTCGGAGCTTTTCTAAACTTTTCTTATTTTCCGAACACGCTTCGTGATGCCGACGATTTTCCGATTCGATTTTCGTTTGAGTTTTCTTTTTTTTTTGTTGTAGTGTTGAGCTTCTTTGCCTATAAAAACGAAAGGAGTCAGCAAATTTTTATCATTCGTTGGTGAAAGTTTGATCAAAAAGGATAAAAAAGGAAGTGAAAGCTGAATCCCAATTTACAATTGGCTGAAAGGTTTTCCACTGTTTAAGTTTCTTTTCAGCATTATCCTTCCAATATAACTTTAGTTTAAATAATTTTTAAAACTGTTCAGTCAGAAGTTTTGATAAAAAAAAGTGTTTGAATTTCTAAAATATTATCAGATTGGATTTAAATAATTAAAAGTGAAGAAGAATTGTTAGAAAAAATACGTCAAGCTTAAACCGGATTAAAATTTCATTAATCTTTTAAAATGAGAAAAATTTTCTTAATTTTTCTTGTGGCTTTTGTTTATAATGTCAAGGTGAGTTTAAAAGATGAAGAAAAATCTCTTGCATGATCTGAGATGCTTACATCCAGTCTTAAAGGGTTTATGATGAAATCACAATGAAAATGAATTTTATATTGGATTATTTTTTCAAAAATTATTCATTGAGTTGAAATTTATGACGTGCATTCGACGACAAAAAAACTCGTTGAACAATATTTGATAGGATTTATTTTTTTTCCGTTCATAAAAAGCAATTTTCAATACTTTAACTTTTACTTCTTATCAATTAAATTAATTTCTATATTTCCTAATGAATTCGCTTAATTAATTTTATGATTCTCTCAATTCCTTGTGGATATTTGTAATAAATTAAAACAGTTCATTGTGAAATATCAATTAAAACTTTTACAAAAACAAATCAACCTTTTAATCCTTGGAAACCAACGCAAAAAACTTTTCTCATTCTAACGGCTAAGCTTTGTTCCAAATCGACAATCAAAACACAATTTTATTAAAATCGCATTCAAAATTAAGCTTCAAGTGTTTTGTGCCACATTCAAAATATCAAATTACGAAAGTTTGAAAAGCAAAAAAAAATTATTAATCAAAAATGATTTTCAACCCAAATATCTAACAGAAACTGTCGAAAAATAAACTCAGAAGAGTCACAATTTTGAGTCGCTAATCAATTATTAATCTAATTGAAGAAATATTCTCACAAACAAAGCAAAGGAATTTATTTCAATTTTATTCTTTGTTTTTGTAAACTTCCAATTTTGTTTCATGATATCATAAATTTCGCACTCGGTAGATTATTATTATTCATTCATAACTTATCAATTCTATGAAAATATATCAAAGAGTGGAACATTAACGCCGCTACAAAGTCATTTACGCCTCATCTAATGGCAGGGGGAAATAAAATCATAAATTTGAGCAGAATACAAATAGAGATATTGAAGGGAGTGTGGGTGGATATCATCAAACAAGTGTTGCGCAATCTAAAAATAAATAAATAACTTCCTCTACAATAATGTTTGGTCTGCTTCGGTCTGGTTTTACGTGAATTTATTTAATATTTTCATGACATAGCTTCTTTCTTTACTTTTGATTAACAAGAAAACGTGAATGTCATTCTTAAACATTGAAAAATCTTTTCTTAAATAATTTAATTAGTTGGAAATCAGTGAACACATTTTTTTCACTTCCTAAGTAAATAGAAACTCTTCTCATGAAAATTTCATTCATGCAAAATAAGAAGAGATGAATGACTAGCAAAGTTCTGAAATTGCTGATAAAATTTCACTTAAAACCAATCATCCTGAGTTTCATTCAACACTTTTTCGAAAGTCTTTTCAATAAACGTTGCTCAATTTTATCGGTAATTGTTAATTTAATGTATTATGTGACATAAATAGAAGCTTTTAATAAAGTTTAGTGAATCGCTTCAACCTTTTTGTCTAAGCCTTTTCTCAAACTTTTTGACTTCTAATTAAATTTTGCGTCAACTGAAAAACTAATTAAAATCAATGGCAATATATCCCCACATTGTTAAACTTTAACAAACTCCTAACGATATTTTGTTGTATTATCTCAATCTCTTCTCATCAAAAAAAGGCATGGCCACATGTTAGGAGAAGTAGTCCCATGGAGATACTTCTACCAAAAAAAATCCACACACTTTCAGGTGAGTAATGAATGTTTGCTTTCAATTAACTCGAGAGTGTGGACGACATTAACTGATCTGCTGGAAAACTCTTTTTTTTATATCAACTTTGTGTACATTTATTCATGTTCATAAGTGAAACTCTTCTCAACTCAACGACGAACTTTTACCCTTCATAACCACTGCGAATTCCATATCGATGAATATTTTAAACTGACATAATTCATATAAAACCGTAACTCACGCCGTAATTTTCTGACAACTTTTCAAATCAACTTTCTAGAGAGGAAGATGTGAAAAATTCATGAGAAATTGTGAATAAAACAACCAACTTTCGATTGATTAATATTTCATGTTCCATTCTTCGGTTTTATCTTAATATGTCAAGCAAAGATGTCATCATATCAAATAAAGTTTCTTTCCCTTATCAAGTATAGAAATTTAATGTTGACATAAACAAATTTACATTTCATATTGTTTGTTGGCAGTAGAAACAATGCAGAAAGAATGAAAATAAATAAAAATAGCAAGATGTGAATTAAATAAAATCAGTTAGCGGGATGTTTATAAATAATCTTGTAGTGAGGTGGAGTGTCTGATATTTAACTTCTTACATTTAATTAAATTAACATCTTTAAATCATTTCGAAGTTACACAACTTGAAACTCAATTACTTTGATGCTAAATGAAAACTTTCTCACAGAATGTATGCAAGTGACATCTGAAGATGGAGTTTTTACATATCGAAAAGTTCTTCGAAAATCTTCAAGATTTTCTGATGGTCTTCACTTCATGGAAGTTGAGCCAAACGAATCTCATGTGTGCGGCGTTTACTTCATAACCGATCCTGATAAGGTTGTAGAAATTGAAATTGATTTCATGGATGTCAGCTGTGAACTTGGGGGACTTCTCGGGGTGAGAAATTGATTTTTGTTTCCATTTTTTTTTTAAAGTCAGAATAAAAGAGAACAAAAGTAAAATTTAATTCTTATTCACAGTTTGTTGACGGCTGGGAATTGAATGGAGAATATTTTCCGGGAATTCATGATCATGAATTGAATCTCGAAAATCGTATCGATGAATTCTGTGACAAACCTTTTGCGTACAAGAAGAAAATAAATCGGAAAAAGAAATTTATTTCACATCAGAATGCTGCTGTCTTTCAATATAAAATTCCGATTCAAGGAGCTTTTGCAATCACCGTACGATATCTTCATAATCCGAAGCGTAAGTTTAACAAATTCCTCAATTATGCAAAAAAAATTCTTAATCGTTTATTTGACAGCTTGCAATATTATGGCTGAAGGTGTTGCTCCTTATTATCTTCTTCAAAACTATGGCACAAGTCGAAATTGTACAGTAACAGCAACATTTCCGGCTGTTGTGTCCATTGAAGGAATTTCTGTTGGAGGCAATGAAGCAGATGTCAATTATGATGTGAGTTTCCCAATCAAATCTTAATTTTTTATTCACTATCTTCCCATATCAGTGCGATCAACCAAATGCATTTGACAAAGTGATTGTTGGTGGTTCATCTGGTCTTGATTCACATCATCTTACAAAGGCAACGACAATCTGCGGTAAATCCCAAATCAAAGGTCCAGAACAAGCAATCTTCTGTGGTGTTACTTCAATTCGACTCGACTCAAGCGGCAAGTATAACAATAAAGTTATCGTTGCACTTCGCCCAGCTGATGAAACTGACATCAGCTTAGCAACAGCTGTTTGTGATTTGTAAAATTTTTACTGAGATTATTTGAGAGTGATAAAGAAAAGTGAAAAGAGGCTTATAACTTTCCTTCATCGTTCTCACTGTATCCGTAATTCACTTTTAACGTAAAACTGTAAAAGAAACAAAGAAAGCTCCCTAAAGCTGTCGAGTCACAAATACGTGGAAATTTATCATTAATTGTACATAAAAACTTCATTTATCTCAAAAGCCATTGAGCTTTGAATGAAAAAATAATCAACTTTAAAAAACAATTGTGTCATAAAGAAGAGATTCATGGAAAACAAAAATAAATTCTTGGAAATTCACCAAAAAGGATGAAAGTCTATTTTTATTTTTATCAATGAAATTGAATCAAGTAAATCAAGTTAAATATTTAACTTCAAATCTTGTTGATTTAGTGACCTTTCAGCTCGTCTTTAATCTCTTGACATTGGCTGGTATCGCTGTTATCGGTGATGAGAATCCCACAGAGAAGGTTTTGCACGCATAAACTGTCACATCCTTCCTTTAACTTTAAATTGCTATCGCGAATCGTCATACGCCAAAGCTTTTTATAATTAAAAAAAGGAACATTTCATTTCCACTTGAACATAATTGCCGAGTATCTTTTACCTCTTGAGTTTTGTTCGCATTTTGTGGTAATCCCTTCACGAACTCTTCCATTGTTTTGGGCCTTAAATCCGTAAGGTTGAATGCTTCACGAAGGGAAAATTGTTGATACCAAAAAGGATTTTCTGTCTCATCATTGTTGTTAGCTTCAGTTAAGTTATAAGACCAAGATTCTAGATCTGTGACATGCTGTTGAAGAAGTTTATAAATATCATAGCAAATACCGCAATAACATCATAGAACTTTACATAATTAGCTCCGTCGACTTCATAGACAACATAATTGCGGTTTACACCTGAATACGTTGCTAAGCTGCCACCATTCCATGCGACATTAACTGGCGTCGTTTTGTTGTCAGTTGGATAGAAAATGTTAAAGCCAAAGAATTCCGTGTGACCATTAAAAGTTGCAGTTATCGTTTCATGAAAACGATCAACGATTCTCTGATATTCTCGTGAACATGGCAAGTGGAAATCTTCATCGCCACTTGGGATATGAGCGAGAATGTGAACTTTCTCTCCATTTTTTTCCGCATCAAGTAAAACATCATGAAACCATTGAAATTGACTCTCAATCGATTCTACACCATAAAAAATCCACCAATTTAACTTGAAGCAGACGTTATTGTTCAATGCTATCAAACGAAGACCAGGACGAACTAATGTCGTGTAGTAGCCACCGGTCTTGACTGTCTCCAAAGCATCAGATGGAAGAAAATCTTTCCAAACTTCCGACACATGTTGATAAAGCCATTTAGTTGATAGTGAAAGGTCAGTTACTTCAGGTGGGGCAAAACTGAACAAAAGAAATGACAACAATGTCAATCCATTACTTTGTAACCCGTTCACCGATTATTTAACTTACACATTTTGTGCTTCATGATTTCCCAATAAAGGGAAGATTGGGATATTCTCAAACGTCACGTTCATGAGCTTGTATACTTTTTCAATTGAGCTTTTCATACTTTCTATTGGCGAATCCCACACGAAATGATCCACAATATCGCCAGTAAAGTAAATAGCATCAATTTTCTGCGAATAAAGTTTATCTTAATAAGTTGCGTCACTTTTGTTTGATAAGACTTTTGGTTAAGGAATTGTGTGACATTTTTAATGGAAATTCTTTTGACATGTACTTATTTACTTTAGCTTACCTTATGTTGTTTAACGATGTGGTTAAATGAATCAACAATTGCATGCCATGGCGTATCACAATAACGATAATCCCCCCAATGTCCCGCAAGTGATGTCAAATCTTCCTCATTAGTTTCATCAATGTCAACATCACGACAACATGCAATTTCTCCGCAGTCAGCAGTAGCTCCTTTCTTATATTTGAGATCTAAATGAATGTCAGTGATGTGAACGATTGTTAAGTTCTCAGATATTTTGTTTTCTTCATTTGGTAATTTTATTGCTGGCTTTATTTCATTTAATTTTATTGAAAAGTCCATGTTGTCATCTTTAATTGGTTTATTGCATTCGCCACCATTGAAAAGAAATTTACAAATTGTGTCTGCTGTTAAATCAGGTCGCTTGTCCACAATATAAGCAATAGCTGGAGTGTTGACTTCAATGACACCTTTACAAACTTCTTCACTTTGCAATTCAAAGTTGACGCACATGTTAAGTGCAAGTTTCATAAGATAATCTTTTTTCAAGTTTTGTACTCTTCTCATTACTAGGAAATTGTTAACAACAATTGGACACATTGTACAAATGAAACTGTCACTGTCTTCATCTCTCGTATCTTCAATTGGAATTTCATTGACAATCCCTTTAAGCCATTCGGATTGACTTTCCGACTCATCCCCATGTAATTGATTTTTGATGTCACCAATTCTATTCTTCAAATCATGTATCCTATCCTCATTAATATCAAAAGCATTGACGAAGACAGTAGCAGATGCTACAACACACAAAATAGCAACCACTAATCTCGGAAACATCGCGAGCAAACTGAAACGAACTTGACACAACAACAGACTATTTATGACGTAAAGATGTGAAAGTCAAGAACGAAGAGAACTCGATCGAAGAGACGAAATCTGTTTCTTTTTTGGGGGAAAATCATTAGCATAAATAAATATATGAGGGAATCATTTAATAATCACGTTTCAATTTAATTTGTCAACTCAAACAAATATTTGGCACACATGACTCATGAACTTAAAGAAGCATGAAACAACAAGAAATTCATTTGGAAGATTGATGGACTTGCACATTTAATGAAAGCTTTTTTTCATCTAAACTAACTAATTGGATGTGACATCACTAACTAAGAATTCATTGAAGGAGGGTAACAGATAACACACTACAAAAACAGGTTCCAAAAACTTGTAAATAACATTTTACAAATAGATAAATAAAAAAACTTTCTTCTGATTGAATATTCTTTCTCATCTTCGTTTATTTATTATTTTCCTTTTCTTCTTTCATTTCATGATCTAAGAACGTCTTGTAACTTGTAACTAAACACATGGAAGTTTCATGTTTTGAGCTGTCTTCAACATAGATTCATGAAAAGAATTTCTTTTCAATTCTTATTCAAAAATATTTACGAAATGAATTCAATTAATTTTTTTTCTTTGAGATACGGCAAATATAAATAAATTTTGTGTTAGATAGAAAAATACAACCGTGATTGTGAATTTCAATTTAAAGTAACATGAAAACAGCTGAGTAACTATTTTTAACGTATTAATATTATGATTAATGTTGACGCGATGTTTATTCACTTCATAATTGCATAACTTTTCATATGTTTTTCAATGTCGTTATTAAAGGTCAGGAATGGATGGAAGGAAAATCAAATTTGTAAGTAAGGCCGTTGCTAAGTTTCTAAGACTACAATATTTCTCCGATTTTCCTTTTTTTTGTGGCTTTTCTAACTGTAAAAGGATTCTACAAATGCTGTTTTCTATCTTCTCAAATTTCAAACGAATTTTTTCCTTCAATCTTATCTCGTATCTAGGTATCTATAAAAAGTTGAAGCACTTTAAAAACCTTTTTTACCTTCGTTTTCTATTTGGCTTTTCATTTATTTAATTCATCTTTTCTCACATGATTCCGCACAATTTTTTTTTTGCTATGCAAAAGTCTAAAATAATTTCAATCAAAATGAATTCCAAACATTCTTCATCCATTACATTTAAATATTTTCTCTTAAGAGCATAATCTTGTGTTGAAATAAGAAGCTTAAAATTGTAAGTTGCAATGATACCTGTAGGTGAAATTTGTTATGCACTTATTATTTGCAGAATGCAGAGCAACATTAGCTAAGGCTGGATCTAAGATCGTTTATTACTTATAAAGTAGATTTACATGTGCGGTCGTGCGGGAAACGAAAACTTTTATATAAAGATGACTTGCAGTTTGCGTTTCCTTTGCTATTAACCAAGAAATTTTTAAACAGACTTAAAAGTTCAAAAGCTTCGAAAAGGTCAACCCCAAATTTAAAAGCAAGCTTCCGAATTAAATTAATCCCTTTTGGCTATTATTTTAAATTATAAAAAGCATAAATTGAAAAAAAAGCTTTCTGAATCTCGATTAAAGTTTCATTTGATTTGGAACTTTAATTGATGTTCATTCTAAGTAATAATTTGTTTACAATAAATTCACTAAATATTATTTAAAAGAACGTTAAGAAGTCATTGTTCGACTGTTATTTGTAATCATAGTGATGATTTAGAATTTATTCTTATATCCTCATTCAAAATAAAATGTATGCCTCGATTTAATCATATTTAATAAAGGAAAGTTTCTGGCGGCAATGCTGAAGGCCAATCTGCTTTTTGAAAATCATCATTAAATAATTTTAATATAAATGAAAGCGTTTTTTTTAGGATTTTCTCTTTCAACAGAATGAACGAAGAGCTTTTGCTCCGAAACTCATTAATATAAAATTTGCCTTAAGCGAGCAAAGAAATCATTAATTGAACATAATAATTGAGAATAATTTTTTCTTCTACTGCTTTACACTTTGTAGACAATTTAAAACTAATAAAATAATGGGAAAACAAAAAAACTAAAATAAAATAAAATAGTAAAATTATGTTTGCGTGGGTGGAGATGCAGTGTAAGTGCAATCAATTTCTTTAATCTGTGATGGATATTTGTGCAAAGCCAATGAGTGACTTTTCGTCGGGCACTTCACCGCCACTGCTATGCAATTGAAAAGTTACAGTCTTCATTGAGCTTCGCTGATCGATGAGTCGTTGAAGGTTCGACGACATGACGCTATTGTCGTTTGGATCGACAAGTCCGGCTCCAACTAATTCTGAAGCAATGCCATCCGATGTGTCTTTACCAACAACAAACTCAAAACGAATATCATTCAATTCGCGACTTGCATTTCGCATCCTTAGCACCAAATTTACAACTTGACCGTCATTTATTGTCAACTTTTCGCTCATTGCTGTGTCGATTGCTGCTGTTGGTGGATCAGTTGCGACAGTATTTTCTGAAGGTTCTGATTCATCGGGCTCATCCGACGCCTCAGCGTGTTCAAGACGATTCAATGGCCTTTCTTCTGATTCAGAATCTGACGAGTTCCTTCCATTATCTTCTTCTTCACTCGACCAAACCCATTCGCCTGTCAATGTACGATGAAGACGACCCGATGTACCAGGTTGTCTCTTTGACGCTTTATTCACACGTGTCTTCATCGATGGGCCAGTTGAAAGCAACGTTTGTACCAAATATTTCTTATCTTTCGCCTTCTTAAAGAATGGATGCTTCAATAATTCACTGGCCGGCGGACGTTTCGTTGGATCCTTTTGAAGGCACTCAATTATCATTTTCCTAAACGTTTTTCCATACGCTTTATATTGATCTTTGTCTTCTGCCGCTGTATCAAGATTTGGTGGATCATTTTGAAGTGTCAACAGAAGAACTTTCATCGGTGGATATTTATGATATGGTGCGGTTCCCGTCGCCATTTCAATAGCTGTTTGTAATATAAATAAACGTTGTTGTTATTAATGTAAAGCGACAATAAGTAAGGTCAATATTTAACTTACCAGTTATTGCGAAACTCCATATATCAGCCTTGAAATCATAGCCATGATCTTGTTCCATCACTGTGTGTTTTGGGGTAAAAAAGAAAGAAAAATCGTGAAAAGAATTTTTATTTCTCTGACGTCAGAAACGTATAAACAAACAGAGATGTTAAATTAAAATATATTTCAAGCACTTTAATCTATGTGAATGAATGAATGCATACGAATCAGTTAAATTTCATCTTAATTGCCAATGCCAATGAAAAATAAAATGAACATTACTGATCGCTATGCTCGTGCCAAGTCTATTTAGTTAGATAATTACGTACCTTCTGGCGCCATCCAACATGGAGTTCCAACAAATGTATGTCGAACCTTTTGACGTGACATGTCGCGTCCTGTTGCCAGCCAAGAACTTACGCCGAAATCAGCAATTTGAACCGTTCCATCATCGCCCAAAAGAATGTTGCCGGCTTTGATATCACGATGAATTTGTCCATTGCTATGAAAATACTCGAGACCTTTAAGAACCTCTTTAAGCCCCGTAGCGATTGTAGCTTCATCAAACACGCCATTACGACAATCATTCTTTCTCATTCGATGTTTAATGATGTCCAAAAGACTGCCCCCTTCAAGTAGACGCAAAACAAGCCAAAGTTCTTCGCCGACAACAAAACTTGTGTGATAAGTGACAACATTCTCATGATTACAACTGCTCATTGCTTGTATCTCCTTCAATAACTCATCCATTGAAGTATTCCACTTTTCTAAGTTGATCCTTTTAATGGCACACTTCTCATGACGAGGCTTACAAAATGCCGAATGTACAACTGCTGTCGCACCAACTCCAATAATCTCACCCAAATCATAATTATCTTTGCTATTTGGCCATGATGTTGACACAGGTAGCGCAGTTGATGCGGCATTTAATGTTGCTGTCGATACATTCGTTGCTATTGGAGTAGACGATGAAACAACTTGTGCTGGTGGCGACGTTGACATTCTTTTTCTTTCTTTCACTTATTCTCTCAATGGCAGATTGTTGTTAATGTTGTGATGACTGTTTTTGTGCAATAATTACTTTGAGAATTAAAGCACTTCCAGGTTGTTTAAAGCCTCTATTTGTGTGTGCGATAAGACAAGAAAATTATTTCGAGGAAAATTTCTTGTGCAATAAAAGAAAAAATTTCTCATCGATTCGGTTTTCGATGATGGTTTTTTCTGATAAAAATATGAGGTTACTAAAGCCGCCATCGTTGTCGACGGTCGTGAGATTAAGAAAATAGTGAGGAACTAAGCACTATGAACGTATCAAACTCTTTTTATATTTTGCTCGAAAAGAAAAATATCTAATTTTTGAGATGATAATTGAGCGCTAATTGATTGATGATTTCGACTCACCTTGATAAGTTTAGAAAACTTGTGATGTTAGGTTGCAATAAATACGTGTCTTAATGTTGTGAACAGCGGATCTACTTAGATAGTGATATTTGTTATTTGTTACACGAAGTTTTCTTGTCTGCTTTTTCAAGTTTTACGTTTTTCTTGAATCTATTCGAAAATGACGACACGTCAATTTATTTCACAAATCAACAACAACATTTTGAATAATCCTTAAAAAGATGAGAGAAAAACATGTGACTTAAATTTACAACTTATTTATGCAACTTTGTAGATATTTAAACCATAAATATCAATGTTACACGACTAATTTTCTAAGTAATCTCGAATCGGACCTCACAGAACTGAAAACCTTTCAACAGACCGATTTTATTCTTTTAACTAGAAATATTACGCACACGTGCAACATTTTGGTCGTTAACTTTTAGTTACTATAGAGCTGTGGAAAGTTTTTGTACTTATTAATACGAATAGATTTATAATCAAATAATACTTAATTATTAATCAGTTTTACATGAGCAAACACTTTTCATTTGGTTATGAAAATTGTGAAATATTTTTTTTGATGAGTTTATAGAATTTTACAATTCACAATGCAAAAGTTGTGTTTGTGTAAACAAAAATGAGTAACAATATTTGAAACATTTACAGTTAAACATTTAGTAATCTCTTTAACAAATAATGAAAACAGTCTGTTGCATATTATATTTGCATATCTAACTAATTTCAATAATGAATAATACTATTTTTCAAAAGAAATAAAAATTTATTCATCATGCTTCATAAACGAATCCCATGCAAAACTAAAACTTGTTGCAACGCGGTTAGAATTGTTATTAAATCACTTTATCTTTGTGTAATTAATTAAAAAAGATTATAATGAAGTTCACTATGCACCAAAAAGTCAAAGACTGCACAATTTTCCGTTGTTTTTTCATTGCAAATAAATTATTAAAAAGCATTATCAGTTGAACCACAAACATTCTTTTATTTCAAATGAATAAGAATAATGTTTCTAAGCAACTGTTCCAAAAACAGCCAATACTTGATTACAACGACGTAAATCATTGTGTTCATTAAGAACAATGCTGCATACTTGCTCCCTCAAACAAGTATCGTCACATCCAGCAGCAATTCTAGGATCGGCAGCTTTCACTTTAAATTCCCAATAACGTCTCAATAAGTTGCGGTTACGAGAAAGATTGAAAGCAAGTTGATCCAAAGAAGCCATCGACATGTTTGCCAATCCAAAAGCTTCTACAAATGAATATTGTCTGAACCAGCGTGGTGGAAGGTGTGGAGTAAGATTAGCTTCCGAAATTGAATAAATAAATGATTCAAAATCAGTAACTTGCTGCAAAAAGAGAATTTTAACTTTTAAAATATTTTAATAAAAGTGTCATGAAGACAATTTACGTAATGAAGTCGATCAACATAGTAAAGATGATAGTTAGGATTAAGTGCAACAAAACCAGTAGCACCTCCACCATTCCATGCAACATTAATAGCATGCTGTGCAGTCGCAACATCATAATAAATTTCAAACTCATCTTGATGTGAATGTCCGTTGAATTGTGCGCCAATTATATGATGGAATCTATCGATGATTCTTCGATATTGTCGTGACCAGAATTGATAACAACTGCCACCACCTGATGGAAGATGCTTCAGAATATGAACACGTTCGCCAGCTGCTTCTGCCGCCAAAAGAGTATTGTGAAGCCAAAGAAGATTTGATTGTGCTTCAGCTCTACTGTACATGACCCACCAATTGTAAATGTAGCAATCATTGTTGTTCATTCCAATCACACGCCATCCTGGTCTCACTAAAGCCGTGTAATAGCCACCAGCTCTCACTGTATTAATTGCATTCCCAGAAATCCATCCATGTCTTGCCCAAGTGTCGGCTAAATAAAAATGTCCATTTATCAAATAAATCATTTAAAATATTTTCGATGCTGATTACCTGCGTAATTGTACAACCATGATGGTGATAACGAAGGTCTTGTAACCGTTGGAGGTGCAAAACTTATTTATTTATAAATAAACAATTTCAATACTTTTTAATTCGTCGCGATAAGATAAATTTACTTACAGATTGGTCGGTTGTGCTTTTGATATGAAAATAAATGAAAAATTCTCAAATAAATTGAAAACAATTTGTGGATATTCATTTACCTTCGTGATTGCCTAAAACATGAAAAACGGGCGTGTTGCCAAACACTTCTCGGAACATATTAAAAGTTCTGTCCATAATAGCGCGATTTCCATCGAAAGTTGTTTCCCAAATGCCATGATCAATGATGTCACCAGTATGATAAACGGCATCTGCATCAGGATGTGCTGCTCTAGCTCGTCGAAGTGTGTCTTCAACTGCACGCCATGGAGTGTCACAAGACTAGAAGTTTTAATTTATTCAATTTGTTATAAAGACATTGAATTGGATTCTTTACTCGGTAATCTCCCCAGAAACCAGCTCGATCTGCTGGATTGGCTGGAATTCCGTCATTGCGACGACAACACACTGGGTTGACACAATTTCCTAAAGAACCTTCTAAGTAATTTGGATCGTAATGTAAATCGGTTATGTGGATGATTCTAAGATCGTTCGGAGAGCGAGGTGAGAAAACTGTTTTAGGTGACGTGATGGGAGGTCCCTGACTGACACTTATGGTGAAATCAAAAACAGGATCAACTCCACCACATTCACCTTGCAGAACCAGACCACACATTTGAGTTGCAGTTAAAGTCGGACGAGAATCAACGATGAAAAGCATTGGCTCGACGTTTTTGTCTATAAGGCCCCGACAAACTGGATCGGTAAATGGCGTGACAATTCTGCACATGCCAAATGCTGAATCTGCGAGTTCTTCCGGTGACGCATTGTTGTTGCGACGATCGGAAAGAAGTGAAGCAAGATAAATACGACAGGCGGTGCATGTGAGAAAAGCTGGTTCACTGACATTAACTCATATTAGCATTCAAAGTATCAGGAAATTGAAAACTCCACTTACGGTTTCTGTTCTAATCTCGCGAGAATTTCATAAGGATTCTCGTTCATTTCAAGAATGTATTTGTTGAAAAAATCTGAGCGATATCCAGTTTCAGTGAAGTTCTTGATTGAATAAATCAAACCTTTCTCGATGATATCTGAAATTTTATATTTTCACTTTAACATTTTTCAATTCTATTTCCAGAAATAAAAGTTCTCGTCTTTTATTTTTACCGAGAAAAAGTGCAACGTGATGTTTCTTGCTATCTGGAGCTTGAAGTGATGCTAAGCCTAAGCACACAACACTTAGGATTAAAATTACCGTTGACTTCATTCGAAACATTTTCACTTTATTTCAGTTCCACTTCAAAACACTGAGTGCTTGAATTGACAGAGATTTCACGCTTTTATATCAATCTTGAGCATCTTGTTATCAACAAATGGTTTAAAAATCATTTAATCACTACTTTTATAGCTTCAATAATAAAGTAAAACAAAGCTTTGATAAGATTCTGTGTTGTGGGCTGTTTTTTATTATTCTTATCTCATTTGTTTTTGAACTTACGAATCGTTGGTTAGGATTATATTTAAGGTAAATAATGGGAAAATTGCAGGAGTTCATCTTAAGAAAAAGTTCTCGGTAAACTTCTTAACAGAAAGCTTTGAAATGAAATGAAGAACAATCATAAAAGGAATTTATTAACTTATTAATCAACCCATCCGCAAATCATTCAATCTTTCATTAAAAATATTTTTTCCAACACGATTTTTTCACGTTTTGTTCAGTCACATGCCCAACTACAATTTTTATCCTCAAATAAAAAAAAAAATCGAATGATTCGATAGAAAATGAAAAAATTTGTTAGATAATACTTCAGTTTATGCTTTAAGCACATTAAATAATTTGATATTTTGAAATACGAAATTTAATATCGATTAAAAGTCAAACGCATGATTTTCAAAATGTTACGAAAGCAAAAACTTTATTTATAAAATATTCGAATTTCATTTAACACAACCAAATGTAAAGTCAAAGCTCACAAGAATTTCATAATCACCAACATTAGAAGACGAAGAAAAACGATAAAGATTTTCTAATGACTAAGACTTGTAAAGATAATCAATGCGATTGTTATCACTTTAGCAAAAATAAACATCGAAGGGCTACTAGAACTGTGTTAAAAGAACAAAAATATTAAATCTATAGAAAGATATTTCTATGAAAAAGATTACCTTGGAACAATTGGGGGTCGTGGGATGTCATCTTGTGTACCTTGAAAAATTAAAACTGAACCAATCCAACCGTTATATTGCGAAACGTCAACATAAACGCCTGGAAAATTTCTACGGCCACATCCGAAACCAAAACTTACTACTCCAGCAATTTGGCCATTGCACATCAAACCACCACCTGAGTCTCCAAAGCAAGCATCTCGGGATCCATCAAGTGACCCGGCACAGAGTGATCCATCAGGTATGGAACCATGGAATGATTGAGTTCCATTACAAAAGTTCATGGCAATAATTTGAAGTTCAACTCGAAGAAGTATTGGGTGTGGCCGCGTGTTGGTTTCTGATGTAACTCCCCTGAGAATAAATCGTGTGAAATAGTGAAATTTCATTCATTTTAGATTATTTCTCACCATCCCGCTAAATTGCAATTCACATTATCAACTGGCGTTGTAAACGATCTCGGCATTGCTTGTAAAGTCGTTGTTTGGATGAAAATCACTGACGCTCTTACAACTCCAATGTCATTTTGATAAGTTCTCATATCAAAACTTGGATGTGCGAATATATGACTTGCAAAGCGAAGTTGTCTTGATCCTGATCCCCATCTTTGTATTGAAAGATCATCGCCCATCAAACGAATCTGTAAAAAATATTGCAAATTTTAAAATTTTCAAAAGAATTTTAAGAATTTGCAAAATTTTTTACCGCATTTGGATCGAAGACTGCACCGAATTCAGTGACAATACAGTGTGCTGCGGTTAAAACATGTCGCAAATCTGTCAAAATATTGGAAATTTGCTGATAACGTTACTGATAAGAAAGTTTATAAAATATGATAAAAATTCACCTATAAGCGCCCCACCACAAAAATGCGCTCCAGCACGGGTTTGAAGAGAAATTTTCGCTGGAAATTCTCCATGCCAGCTGGGAGTACCTCCGATTATTCTTGGTGCAAAATCAATTTCACCATTTTCTGCGTAGTGAAAATGTTCATAACGTGGTGGTCCGGCTTCCCAATCATATCCTTCTTCGTCAACATCATTATCAACATATCTACGTTCAATATTATGGCACGTGACTAGAATCATAATTTTTAATTATTCTCTCAATACATTTAAAACTAAATCCATCCAAAGACATGCACCAACCATAAGTTATCGACAATATCAAAATCAAAAATTTCATCTTTATTCTCAAAGAATTTATTCTAACTGTCTACCTAAAATCCTAACATCACACTGAACCAAATTAAAATGTCATAAGCTATACGAAAACAGCTCATTTTTTTATAATTTCTTCTGTTATCGCATTTAAGGGGATTAATGTTGTGATCGAATGAGTCTTGATAAGAAATTCAATATAAATGCTTCTCTATGCGAAAATATGAGTGAACCGTTTTAGTGACGAATATGATATGAAGTCATTTTTAAGTAAAAGATTCAAAGTTCTTATCAAAATTCTTCCATGATTAAAATAAATAAACAAACAAACAAACATTTGTTAGATACCTATTTGTATGTTTACTTTTATTCTATTTTTGCATACGCTTAAGGCGCTAATGAAAATAAAGTTGCATAACTTGAAGGCGAATTTGATTAACCCTCAGCTGTGAAAGAAATTCCCCTGGGATGTATAAAAAATTATTCTAATTTACCTAGGTAATTATATTTACACAATTCATAGAAGATGACCTTTCAAGTCAAGGAGCAGATGAAAAACTAAAAATAGAAAAAGTAAAAGGATTGAAAATTTATTATTAATTGAGCTTATTAAAATGAAGCTCAAGCCTTTCTTCAAAAAGCTCTAAAAGTCACTTGATAAATTAATTACACACTTTGTGAACATTTCATAATTATCTACTTTTGATCAACGATGAAAATTGTTGAATAATTCACGTCAACAATTAGATTAGGCTTTTATGAAAACGTTCAAATTGTTATGATGATTTATATTGAAAGATCTTCTATTATAATTCTAATAAACATAGTCAGTAATAAATGAAAGCTCAACTTCGTGAAAAAAGGAGCTTTGAAAGCTTCTTTTTGACATTTCTTCTGAAAAGAGAAGGAAAATGTTCAAAATGCATAAATAAATTTATTGTCATTTAAAATGTATTTCTTTGTATTTATAGTCATTTTTATTTATAAAACATAATTTTCTTGATATCCTATAAAACTAAATAATGGCTTGAATTCAGCATTATTTCACGTTTATAAGTGTAATTAATTAATTGTAAGGATATTTAAATATAAAAGAAACGTCTTTTACTTTTTGGTCGTTTTATGTTCGTTTGATTTGTGGATACAGACAAATATGTAGTTAAGTTAATTATTCTATTCACGTTCTGCATTTAAATTTCTTAACTATTGATAATCTTAATTCTTAATAATTAACATGACATCAGTTCACATTCCACCCAGTATTCTTTGTCATTAAAATTATTCAAACGATTTAAAATTTCTAAAATAAAAATGACGAGGAAAAATTGTTTTGTTCTCGAAAGGATGTTAAGCTGATTCAGCAGTTGCAATCGTATTGATTGTGGGAGTTAAACTTGAAGTACTTGAAGCAAAATTAAAATTAAATTCTTCAATTGCTTTCTCAAGTGCTTCAAACTCATAGTAAAGTTTATAATCCAATGAAACACCTTCAAAAACTGCACACACTGAAGGTTTCAAGTTGAAGAAAAGAAGCGGCTGTTTCCGCATATTAAAGTCTTTCAAAAGTGTTTCAACAACTTTTGCTGCTGTAAAATCTGCACCATAAATATGTGTGCAATCTATAGCGACAGGAGCTTGTGCTTTCAATCCTTGTTTGTTGATTAAATTTCTTACGTAATCAACTGAAGGGAAGATCAAACAGCGATCTGGTGTGAGTAAAAGATATTTAATGCCCTTCGATGGGGTCTAAACAAGATAAAAACAAAGTAAATTTGCATCAATTATTAATTATAGATTAATTTCACTTACAATCATTTTCTCCATGTAAATTTTTGGTCTTGATGAATGGTATAGAATGAAAATAACATTAAAGCCGATTCCAACAAGGATTCCAAGTTCAAGTGGAAGCATAAGACATGCAATAAAAGCTGCAAGTCCTGGAATTAAATCTGTTTTTTTGCTATGCCACATTGGCTTCACCACACGAACTTCTACCATAAACAGAACTGCAGAAATGATTATACCAGCCAAAGCTGCTTTTGGGATGTAGAAGAAGTAAGGTGTGAAGAACATAAGCGAAAGAATTACGAGAAGACCTGGGAACAAATTAAAAATGAATTAAAGAAACTTAAAAGATTCTTAGCATTGCTTACCCGTGTAAAGACTTCCCATTGGTGTTCGTACTCCTGATGCATTGTTTACAGCTCCGCGTGACAATGCACCATTACCAGGAAAGCCTTGAACAAAGGAATTTGCAATGTTTGCAACTCCAATGGCAATTAATTCTTGTGTTGCATCGACAGCTTTTCCATTAGCGAAGGCTTTACATATTGCGATATTTTCAAGAAGTCCAATCAAGGGCACAACTATCAAAGCTGAACCAAAATCAGAGACAATACTGTTAAAACTTTGACCAGTTCCTTCGATTGGAAAGCCAGTTTCATTCAGTGTATCTGGAATTGAGAAAGGTGGCAAACGGAAATTCGGAAGTCCCTCAGGAACTTGTCCGATAATCTTGAAGACATCTTTACGATCACTTTGGTAAAAGTATGCTGACAATGCACCACCAGCGATTACGATAAGCGCATTACGAGCCGTTCCGATAAGCCACAAAGTTTTGTTCACAAATTTATGAAAACCTGTTTTAAGTTCTTCATTTTTAGGTCCAATTTTAATGTTTGGAAGAAGCTGAACGAATAAACGAAATAATTAATTCAAGTAACATTAACCGAGAAAACATTTAAAGTAAGTCTTACTCTCATCAAAAGTAAAATGACGATACAAAATAATCCTAAAGTTGTGTCGCCAATTCGCAATGTTTTGATGTTTCTAAAGATTGATGCCCACATATCGAAGAATGTCTCACCATGAGCTAATATCCCAAAAATATCTTTGACTTGTGATGACAGGATAATTAAAGCCACTGCACTCGTGAAACCTGACGACACCGGACCTGATACAAAATCGATGAGAAATCCAAGATTGAAAATCCCCATCAGAAGTTCAATTAGTCCAGTGAGAAAGCAGAGAAGACAAGCTTTTTCCCAACTTCCTTGGGCTGCTTGGAAGGTAAGAAGGGCAGCTATTGCTGATGGACCTGCAAACGAAATTAAATAATTTTTTGTCACTTTAAGTTATAATTTTAATTTACCCATGGGGACATCTTTGCATGATCCAAGAAAAATGTAAACAAAGCATCCGAGGAAAGAACCATAAAGACCGTATGCAGCTGGTACTTGTGCGATACCTGAATAAGCAAGTGCTTGTGGAATGACTGTTAATCCAACTGTTAAGCCTGCTAATAAGTCACCAATTGCATCTTCCGTGCTATACTTCGGAAGCCAATTAAGGATGGGAACGCGTTTATAAAGAATCTTCTTTCGACAAATGTTTTTTGCTTTCGCTTTTAGTAACTTTGGAATTTCTTTTAACTGTTCCTTGGTTGTCTTTGGATTGTCATCAGTCACTATAAAAAGTAAATTTTTAAAAGTTGAAAAATAAATTTCAATTCACTTTGACATACGAATGAATTCATTTGATCCTTTATAACCGGCTACTGTGTAGGAATGATTGGTTGGTAAGTTGAGCGATATTGTAGATCCATGAAGGTTGTAGCCCGCTGGACTTAAATAATTTTTTTTCTCATCCATCGTTTTAAGAGATGATAGCGATCTGAAAGTCAAATGTCAACTGAGTTAACAATAAATTCCATTCAAATGTTTAATTGTATGTTGCACACTTTCATTGTCGGTCAATGAGGAAACTTAAATTGAACATTCAAAACGAAAACAAAACAAAAAATAAGAAGAGAAGCCGGTTAGTGTGCAGGTAGAGAAACACGTGATGTTGTTAAAAGAAAAGAGTCAAAGACATGACGAGACGATTATGAAATATTTGCGATGGAAAGTTTTTTCAAAGAACGATAATTAGGTCGAGACGCATTTCAGACGTCTCAATTTGAGACAAACTAGAATTGACATTAGAAAGAAATTTTAAGTAAAATATTTTTGTAATTATCTAAACAATTAGAAGCTTGTGTAGAAGTAAGAATTGTCGCATGACTTTCAACGTCACGACTCACTTCATAAATAATTTTGTTCACAACTCGCGTGATGATTTTTTGCTAAAATTCTTATCGTAATTTCTTTAAATTTTTTAAATCTCGTGTGTTTTGCTGTTTTAACTAAGTTAATCGTATCTTATTTGATTACCGTGAGATTCTTTTTAATGTCAACATAGACGCTTCTTAAATTGTATCTAATCTTAAATAAATATTTTTGACATTTCCATTTCGTGAGCTGCCGTCTTATCATCTTCATTTTTATTTTCTAGGCATGTTGTTAACACATCTGTTTCTTATTTGATTATCGCGATAAATAATTTTAATGGCTGTGACTATTAAAAAATAATGTTGGACAATCATGATTAATAATAATTTGCTACCTAATAATTAAAAGTTTCCTAATTGATAATTAAACACCGTCATGATAGTTTCGATTCCACTCCAGATAATGACATTGAAATTTTAACATTCATTAAATTAAGCCGGAAGAAAGGAAAGAAGCAACGTGATGAATAATAAATCGTTTGTGTCATTGAAACTGCAGTCAATTACCATCAAACTCAAATAACTTTTAAATTTGTAATCTACACTTGGTAAGCAGTTAAACTTTATCTGATAACGAAGAAAGTATATCGTGTTCTTATCAGTAATTTAATGACGACTTAATTAACGTCTTATTTAGTTGGCTTAATTTTTATAGGACAATGCAGACTTTAATCTAGGTTCTGTGCTTTATTGTTCCTTGAAACTTAAGCCAGCCTAACGGTGTCAGCAAAATATCAATGCTATTGAAAACACAATTTGTCATGATAAAAACATCTAAAGAAATTATTTGTTGAGCAATTTTTATTGTTATCTATCACAGGTTTTGCCATTTTTTCCTTCGATTTAGTCGCTACTAACGTCAACTTCCGATTTTATTTATTTCATCACGAAATATTTCACATTGATAGATAATGGGAAATTAAATTATTGTAAATTCTCTGTGTAAGAAAAGTGAATAATCAGAATGTTTAGGGCGAGAATCCACTGATGGAAATTGCTTATTCCAAGAGACGGCTGTGCGTACGTAAGAGACTCGAAACTCAAGAACTAGAAACATTGATAAATTATGTAGTTAAGTTAAGTTAAGTTAAGTTGTAAGTGTCAAAATTTATGCAAGATTAAGTTGTGTAATTTTCGTACAAAAAATATTTAAATTGCTTTAATTAATTTTGTTATTTTCCAGAATCTTCTCGTTCATGATAATGATTTTTGTTATAGATTTGTTTGAATATCTTAATAAGTGTGTAGATATAATAATTACTGAGATTCTCATTAATCATGAAATTGATTAAAACATCTAATGATGAATCAGAAATGAATTAGAAACAGTTTATTATGCAAAGCTTCTAGACGTGTAATTTTATTTAGTTGTTATTATTTATTAATACAAACATTTCTAATGAATTTCAGTCGACGTCATAAGAATTCTCTTAAATTCGCAACAAATTTTCAAGCAGTAGCTCCAAGTTATAAATTGAATTGCAACCTTTAATAATGAAATTACGATTTTAGGATTATGTCATGTTTAACATTGATGACACGTTTGTTCGTGTTCTCTTTTCTTTGTCAAAAATTCAATTCGCGTGGCTTTCAAAGGTCAAAAAAACTTTAAGTTTATCTCAATAAACACAAGAAAAATTTTCACATGAAAACTCACAAAGTTCCTATTAAGATTGAACACATATTTACTGTAGAAATGATTGAAAACTAAAACTTTATCATGATTATTCAGCTACAATTCCGAGTTTTTATTCCAACTTTTACATGAAATTCAATCATTTACAATCAGAATTATAATTAAAATCACTTTTATAGTTTTTGATTTAAGTTCCTTGTGTAAAATAGCAGATTATTTTATAAAGAACGAAGTTAAAAGCTTTTTAACTGTTCCGATATTGTCCATGACTTTTTCTGGTCATAACTTTCAGATGAACTTAAACTGTTGTGTAAACCGATCAAATCTTGCGTGATTAATTAAATGATTAATACTTCCTTAGTACAAAAGCTCACGCATAGTTTATTTAAATATGTTATTCTTCTTGTTTATTTTGGCGAAGTCAACTTCATTCACCTCGAATAATGTTTTTCAACTCAACGGAATTGTTCGCGACGACTAACGAATATTGAACTTAAACTTCAGTTCCCGATTTTTGCGCAAATTTGACGATGCGGAAAATTATATTTTATCCATTTAACTTTTTTTTAAGCACAAATTCTTAATTTTAAATCATAAATCAAAGCAAAACTTTTGAAACAGTACCTAACATTTAAATTTATTAAATTACTCAAAACAATAAACACGCTTTCAGCAACACGACTACTAAAGTCAAACTACTGAAATTGCAAGATTTACTGCGATCATTTTTCACCATTTATTAACAACTTTATAGTTGGGGTGATTTGCATGACCTGTCACTTGTAAGTTTTGATTTGAAATTATTGCATTGATTAGTTGCATGTTGATCACATTTTCATCATAAACGTTTAACCATCACTTTCAAATGAACCCAACGAAAAAAAAAGATCGCATCGTTTGCAAAAATTTCTTTATAGTCATCGAAATATGAACGCGGAACAATGAATAAAATTTTTTAAGCACGTGAAAAGAAGCGCAATAAAATTTTCCTACATTTTCATTATCGGCGTGTTTTGTTTCATGAAAGATTTTCCGATAATTTTTTTTCCTTCTTCTTACATTTGCGGCTTATTTCAGCTGATTAAATTATTTTAATCGATTTCTTTTGTCTTGAATTTGTCGGTATTTTTTGGAAATTAATAAAATAGATTAAATACGTTTCATTAAATATCATAACAACGGTTAGGAAGTAAAAATAAATTTCAAGTTCAAGGAATACTTTTCTACTCTCGAGAATTGTTAAAAGTCTTAAAATAACTCAAAACATTCACTACCATCATGATGGTAGCTCAACGGACAAAACCTTTCACTTAGTACACGTCAATTCGTTTTAGCTTATCGTCACAAAAAAAAGTCTATTTTCACACGTGATTTATTTCATCTATTCTCGTCTTGTTACCTTTCTCACTCGTTTTAGCTAGAAGAATAACTGCCGGAATTGTTGTTCACAAATTCAGCCTCTTTTTTCACGATAGTTTTGATATCTTTGGTATTTATTTGTTATCTTTGTTTATTTTAAAGGAAATAAATGGCACATCTGAATTTTAATATTTTTTTTCGTTCTAGTTCATCAACACTTCAAGTTACACTTTTATCAAATGTTAAAAATTATCATTCGAATATAAAAGAACTCTTCACTCTTCTCAGTGTTGCTTCTTCAGCACAAAATTTCACCAGTAATTAGAACAAAACAATAATAAACTCTCCGCGAATGTCTTTCTTCGCTGACTTTTCAGCCTCAAATGTTTCGCTTCAATTTTTTAGAATGTTACTTATATAGAGAAGAAAAAAAAAGTTATGAATGAAATAAGTTTTCAGTTGAGACTTACGACAGTGAATAAGTGAGAGTATAACAATGTGTTTTGTGACACCTCAAACCACGCTCATGTGTGGAGAGTAAACATCGTTCATTGCTTTGTTTTTTTTTATTATGAAAAAGGATCGAGTTAAACTGCCACACTAAACTTACGTCTTTCTTCTCCAATGTCCAACAGACAATTGTTGATTTGAAACTAACAAAATCTATCACCAAAAGCTTGTTCACTTAGCGAATAATAACTCAATTATTGTCTCATTTCACAGATTTTTTTTCTCATAAGCAGACATTTTCTGAGAGTGAATCACACAAAGCTACAAAAAGCTTAAAAAGTTTGAACAGAAGGCCGGACTAAAGGGATGTGTTTTCAAGTTTTTTTTTGTTCAAACACGGAACCTAACGATTCTCATCAAAAACAACAAATGTCACTTTATTTTCAATCATTCAAAATTGTTTATCAAACGCAAAACTTTAGAACAACGCAATATGTAGTACAATCAGCTTACGAAAGAAAGCGATAGAATGTGCTTAATTACTATAAAGAATTCGCGGTGACTGTTTTCATCTCTCAGCTGACAAAACAATTGTTTTGGGGGTCCCACGATAAAAATATCATTTCACTTCACTTTGACTATGAAGCATTGAACAAAAATGATGACAAATGTAGCGGAATGTTTGGTATTTTCTTATAACAGGTGATAGCGTCATTCGATCGTTAACTAACAATTTGTAATGTTGTCTGAATTATCGCCAAAATATTTGTGATCATTCGACTATGCAAAGTATGAATTTGTTGATATTGTTTTCAATGATTCACTCTGAAATTGATTTGGCTTGCATTAAATATTTTTGTTAAATTGGAAATATATTAAATGAGACTTTGACCGAAAATAAAACGATTAACTCGGTTGTCACTAACTCAAATGAAGACACTTACCATGAACTTGACGTGATTATAATACACCTGTTTATATGTTTTTATTACTTTTCACGTGATAGATGTGGATGTCAACAGTTTAATCTTATTTGTTGTGGGACTATTTAAATATTATGACTGAACAAATTAAAGAAATTGCGGTTTCAAAAACATTTCAGACAAATTAAATGGATTACTTTTTAATATCAGATTAAATTGTTGAAAGCTTGTCTCAATTTTAAAAGTAAAGTTTGTAAAAAATATCTTTGGAAAACTTTTTCCAATCACTTTTATCTCTCGTACTGTAGTTGAGAACGTGATTGCTTTTTTAATGTCAAATTCTTGATCTTTAGCACATAAACTAGACTTGCGGTTAGTTCAGTGGTAAGTTAAATTATTCAATTTTTATAATTGCAAAACTATCAAAATAAAAAATGAGTTGATTAAGGAATTTTTATATTTTCATGCATATTTGGGTAACTTGCAACAGAGATCGATGCAAATATATTGAGAAACCTCAAAAAATGTCAATCACTTCTTGAATCTTTTTTGTAAAAATGTTTCATTCATTTACCAAATCTACTTGAGTGTTTATTTATTCACCTTTGTTGATGTGTCTTTAAACAAGTAACATTTAAATTTTTAAGAAGTTGTTTGAATAATGTTGTGCAATTCCACAAGTAATTATAATTATATTTACTTTATCGTGTTTATCGATTGAGTATTTAAATTTAATCAGAATCTATTCTTTAATCAGAAGTTATTCTCATCATCTGAAATGCTGTTAACATTACCGTTCTAAAATTCTTTCTAAAATTAGTCAGTCAACAACGATTATTCAGATCTTTTATGTTCTAATTTACGAGCCCAAAAGCTTGTAAAGAAAAATTACTCAGTTTCACACTCTGACCGTTAAAATGAAAATAAACTTCATTTATTGATTTTGTTCATCATTCAGTTATGCCTCGTCACCTTTCTTATTGAACGCGACATTTTTCAGATATTGGCTTGTACAAATTCGAAAAATTAAACAAGAAATGTTGCAGGAAATAACATTGAAAATGGTATCAATGTTACCGGTAGTGGAAAATGTGCTTTCAACTTAGCAGACTTTTTGCTTTCATATGATAAATATCGTCAATTAAGTTTTATTATGATTTATGGTAGTTTTTTAGTTGAAATTAAAGTGGAAAATGTTTACACTTGTTTATGTTTTCATTCACTTGATTATTTTGTACTTTTCGATGGTTTTCACATTATTCAGGCAAAGAAAGATGTTCTAACAGATAAATAAAGAATTTATCTCTTTCAAGTCATCAATCAATCTTAAAGACAATAACAACATCTGAGAAATCTAATCTATTTAATTAGCCCTTGATAATGAAAACGTTCTTTTGATATTTTTTCGTGAGACCGTGCAGGCACATTATCTGCCATTAGCCTTATTTATAGACAGGTTAATTGGTCATGACGTGAAAACACCGAATCCCTAAAATACATCAGTAACCTTCAAAGCATTTCTTTGGAAGAAATGCCAAAAAAAATCAATTTTTTAACATGATTAAACCGGTAAGCATGAAAACTTTTTGATAGCTGATTTTTTCAGTTCATTGTGTTCAACAAGTGAAATGAAATTTTATGAAGCGTTTCAATTTACACTTTTCTCCTTTTTCGTAATGTGATTCTTAAATGATATTGTGAAAACAAAGTTTCCGTTTACCTGGCTCTTTGTAAGCTTGAATGATTCACTTGGATTTTACGAATAGCTAAAGTTTACACTTGCTAAGTAAACAATTTATGAATAGAGATATATCAATGTTTGTTCATTATTAACTAATTTATGATTTACTTAAAAAGCAATCAGAATATCGGCTGAAATTTTACAACATAATAGTTGGCATTAAAATTTTGGTGTACAAATTATTCATTCGTATGAAAAGAATTGGGAACATTTGTTTAATATTATTAAATTATTAAATTATTTTGTAACTGGGAAACTCTGAGCGACAAAATAACGCAATAAATATTTTGGAAGCATTTGATCGCAACTAGAATTTCAATTTCATTCAATTTATTAGATATCGATTTTGTTCCCAATCAAATTGCTATTGAGTAAAGTGGAAACGGGAATCTCGTGATTTTTTTATATAAATTTTTATAGACTCATTGACAACTTGTGACAAACACTTCTAATAAATTTCTATCTTCAGTGATGTCACATGAACGGAATAAATAATGTTCACTGCCTTTTAATCAAATTTCATATTTTTCACCTAAGGAATAAGAATATAAAAGAACTTGTAAAAGAATGCTTTTGTTGATTTCTGATTCAAATGTGATTTTTATTGAACAAATTCAAAAAGAAAGGAAATCTTTTTCACAAATAATCTTTTAATCGCTTTGCTTGTTTTTAATTCTATGATGTTACAAATCTAAAGTTGAAAAAGGGAAATAATCACAAAAAATAATGTGCAGGAAAATGTAAAGGAAGAAAGGGAAAGAATAAAATATCACCGAAAAATATTTTCATGACAATGTTTGGAGTTAGATTAGCAATTTCGGAGTTAGATTAAAACAGAGACTAAGAATTAATTTTCTTTTGATTGCATAGGACACTTAATTACACACGATTAAATCAAGTTTTTTTCCCTTTAGACCTTAATTTGATTTGTAACAGACGTGATTTCTCCGAAAAAATTAATCTTCCAATGTGACGTTTTTAAATAAGTGACTCATCGATTCCTTGTTGTGAATTCTTCTGATTGCTTCTGATAATAAAATTGAAATATCAACGGTCTTGATTTTATGGCACTGCATCTTTTGGATCTCATGTGGAATAGTGTTAGTCACGACAACCTCATCAATAGGCGAATCTTCAATTAAACGAGGAGCATCTGATGATAAAAGCCCGTGAGTAGCCAATACATAAATTTTATAAGCTCCGCGTTCCTTCAAAACTTCAGCAGCTGAAACAAATGATTCGACTTCATCAATGAGATCGTCGACAATAACTGCGATTCTTCCTCCAACATCTCCGACAACATTGATTGGCGGTTTTTTTTCGCAACTAAAGATGGAAATCCAGAAGAGACGTCACTCATTCGAGTTTTTGGAGCATTTGGTGGTGAATTACGACCATCAACTTCATCAGTCTCCGAAATTTTCTGTTCTCCATGAATCACTGCAATACCCAAACGTAATCTTTCAGCATATGAAGTCGCTTTCTTAGCCGATCCAGGATTTCTTGCTACAATCACGGCATTGCGATAATCTGGGATGCTTTCTTGAATGTATTGCAACAAAAAAGGTGAAGCCCTTAAATTGTCCACAGGGCAATCAAAGAATCCCTGAATTTCCTTCTGATGTAAGTCCATTGTGATGACGTGAGTTAAGCCAGCATTGCACATCATTTTAGCAAGTAGCTTTGTCACAATTGATCCTCGTTTCCTCATTTTGCATTGCTTTGAGTAGGGCAGATATGGAATCACAGCAACGATTGACTTGGCACTTGAAGTTTTACTACATATAAACAAAAACATTGAAGAAATTATGAGTTTCTTACTATCAAGTGACTTCTTCTCTCTTATCAGTTAATAAAATTTCACTCACCATGCATAAGCCATTATCAAAAGTTCCATAATATTGTTGTTGCAATCTCTGAAAAGTAAAGACTGAATATATAACACTGATAACATTTTATGATTTTACAAAAACTTACTTTGTTCCGGTCTGAATGATATAACAGTCTTTACCACGTACTGAATCTCCGATGTCAACCATTGTCTCACGATTTGTTTTATGATACACTGAACAACCTCCAGACTTTATGTTCAAGCGACTAAAAACATGAAAAAAGTTAGTGTGAAAGGTTAAATGTTTATGATGTTCGAGTTAAATTCTCACCTTCCAATTAGATTGGCCAGTTCTGGATGCGAATTTCCATGGAGAAGTACAATGTCTGACGTCGCGGGACATTCCATCTTGTAATGATTTGATAATGATCTCACGGGTTGTAATCTAAAAGTGAATGATGAGTCGCAAAAGATATTTTTTCGGGTCTTTTTTTATCGATCAAACTTTATTTTTTTTCTGTTATTTGCGTGCAAGGGATGATTTTTTGATTTGGGTTGATAAAGTATGTAATTGGTGGAAAAGCTATTTTTATCAAAATTAGTAGTCAATAGCGCTATTATTTCAATCTGACTTTAACTAAAATAAAAGAAAAAAAAACATTCTTTAAATAGCAACAAACATTAATTTGTTCTAATTGCTTCACTTTAAGCTCAAAACTTTATTAAATTTTAGTCAACCAACGAGCTTTATTAAATCATTTATCAATTGAAACAATTAAAACATCACACATTAGGTTTATTACATGACAATTTAAAAGAATAGCTTACTTATTTCGATTTAACATCGTAAGTGATTGAGTTTTCTAAGTTACCTAGCAGCAACACAGGCAATTACATGTCCGACTGTCAACATCTACTTAGAATGGTAGACCAAGTTTAAAATATTTCTGAACGTTAAAATTTAATAACTTTGAAAGTGTTAACAAATAAATTTCAAGGAAATTGGTTAAATGTTATCTAATATAATGTTGGATTAATGTTAGCAGAACGAAATCATCTTGCCTGAAATAACCTTTCATAAATTTCCTATTAAGTAGGTACACTTTCCAGTATTTTGCAAAAAAGTAATGCTTTAAAATAAACATCATTCGGGTTCTTTAAACTGTAAACTGTGAATTTGTAACAAAATCTATGAAAAATTTCTTGATATGTTTAATAAACATAACTTATCAAACATTTGACAAGAAGCTGTTCTTAGTTGAACAGATTCATATTTTTCTTTTCAGGTTTAAAAATTTTCCGATCGCAGTTGGCATATAAAAGAAAATTTCATCAACAAATCATTCTTTAATTGAAAGTTAAAGTGAGAAGTGAAAAAAACTGAAAATGAATAAAAAAACAATTATTGGTGTTGGTGGAGTGATGGTGATGGTTTATTGTGGATATAAGTTGTATAATTATTGGAAAGGTGAAGTGAAAAGTGAAGTGAAGAATGAATTGAAATGTGAAGTTGGTGAAAAAGAAAATTTTGAAAAAAGTGAAGAAAAGTGGAGTGAAGCAAGTGATAAAGGTGGTGATAGTGAGTGGGATGAGTTTTGTGAATTTTTTGATGAATTTGAAAGTGGAAATTGTGATGAAATTTAAAAAAATATAAAAATGAAAAAAAAAACGCCAAAATTTTTTCAAACTCAATGGTTACTAGATCAAATTCCGATTTTCATGAAATTTTCCTTCACACTTTCATGTAGACTTCAACAATTTTCATCAAAGTTGTGTAAGAGAAATTGACTTGACGCCCGGAAAAATCCAGGATCAGCTAATTTAAATTTTCAAATTCATTTATCGAAATAATCATTTTGTTTCACCCCATCAACTTTTACTTTTTCACAATTAATCCAATTTCATTTTTTCTTAAGAAAGAACAGGTTGCCATTTCTGCTGAAAACCCCTCAATTCAAATCATTTTATTGTTGAGAAATAAATAAAAGTAAAACTTGCCATTTGTTTCTCATCATCTTGCATTCCCTCCCTAAAATAAGCAATTTTTTTATTTAATTAAGATAATGACACGAAATAAAGCTCGAAAAAAAATTTGCGTTAAAACATGAAGACCTGAGAAATTCAATTAGCGTCCCTTCTTTAAATTAGGTGAAAACCAGGCTAATGATACGGGTTTCCATTTCTGTTTTAATCTTCAACAAAGTTGAAGACGTGGTGTGGGCAATCATCACACCTTATTCGCTGTCCCCAGGAAACCTTCATCTTTGTCGAAAAAAAATGAGACGAAATGTTTGCGCCTTTGTTAATATCTCATCGTTTTATTCAATCTCAATGACTACACTTCTCTGCTGAGTAAGATTTTTGTTGTTTCGTTCCATTAACTGACATTAACAGCAATTTATTTTTTCAGCATGTCACTTTTCCACCTCTTGAGTCTCATTTCTTATTTCTGTTCTTCTACCGTTCTTAGAAATAATTTTCTTAAGTGAGTAACATGATGATGGTGTAATTAAATTAAATTACACAATGTGTAAACGACGCAAAAATTAACGCAAAATAATGTAAATAAATTGTTGTCATGTTTACCTCTCAGATACGTGAAAATCATGGAAAAGCAGACAACATATGTGGCATCGTTTTAAACAGGAAATATTGTTGAAATTTAACACGTTTGCTATGTTAATCATTTCGACTTTCCACCCTCTAACTTTCAAATGAAATTCTTGAAAATTTCTCTAACTTAAGGGAGGAGATGAAAATTAAATTTTAATTAGTTTCACACACGTGGAAGTTGAGAGAAAAGTAAAATGAGGTTTTAAGTTACGAAGCTTCTACTGCGGTGATGAAGAAGTTAATTATTCAGTAATAATGATGTTTTAAGTGTCTGTATTGTTTAAACGTGATCTAATTAAATACCAATTAAGCTATTAAATTTAAAAGTCAATGTCAAACGCTACCTGTAGCCAACAAGTTTTCCTTTATTTCCAGACTACGAGAAAATGAAAAGATTTTCAACAGAAGACATATTAAAAGGTGGTAAAAGGCAAATGGGGAGAAACAGGAGATGAGTTCAACGTGATGTGAATTTTAAACATCCAGAAAAACTCATAAATTTTCTTGCATTTTTATTCAAAAATAATTTTATTCTTTTTCCGATTTCCGACGATTTTTCTTCTTTCCCTTTCTTTTTCACGTGCTTAAGGTTTTGATCGAGTCAGAATTGAGATGCTGCTGTGAATGTTTAATGCAATCGTTCGTGCATTTCACTTGACCAGCAAAGCTAAAAAAGTGAATTTCGAATGCACGCAATAAAATATTCAAGGAGAATTGAAAGGGAAGAGAAAGAAAAATGCTGGCAATTTAACAACAAAACCAAGTCGACCGTAGGAAAAGTAAAATCACTGCATATCAAGTCCATAAATAATAATACGAGTAAAGTTATGAATGGAATTTCGTGTGCAAGAAGGCACGCAAAAGATGGGAATGTAAATATGTGTTTTCAACATAAATTACATTGTTTCACTCCCCCGCATAAAAATGTTTATTTACTCGTGGTAAGGAGAAAATGAATTGCTTTTCTGTGCAGCACCTGAGACTGGAATCACCTTTGCAAACCATTATTTCGCCCTGATTTTTTATTCAAAATAAAGTAGCATTTGCTACAAGAGAAAACATAATTCACTCAATGGCATTTTGGTAAGAACAGATATTTAAATATGAATATTTTAGGACCTTGAACATGACTTGTACACGACATAAATTAACACAATCATTCTTCTCTTTTTTTTTCTCGACCAGATACTGAACAAGAACCCATAATTAGATGAAGCACTTTTCACTCTACCTTAATTGAATTAGGGCCACCGATGAGTGGTGGCTGTCATGACCGTCTGTTTTTATATTTTCAGTAAGGGAAGATTTTTATTTAAAAATTTCACCTCGCTTATCACATCATCAGCATAATGAAAACGATGAAGATGAAGCAATTACAAAGAAACGCGAGGGTGGAAAAAATTCTTTTCGTCATTTTCCTCTGAAAAAAGAACAGCATGAAAATATTCCAGCGACACTTTTTTCTTCATTGCGACGATAAATAAAGCCATAAAAAATTATGACGCCAACAATCGTGGATGGAGAGAAAAATGACTTACCTTGTTTTTCAATTAATCACATCACGAAAATAACTTTGGCGTCGTCAAGTTTCCACACAAAGATGAAAAAAAAAACAGAAGCAGCGATAGGGGGAACGAAAAAGTTACTTTACACAAGCACAGCGTGAGATGGCACCTTTAACTTGATGTATAAATCTTGTGGAAGTAAATAAAATGCAAGTCACTTTCAAGAGCCAAAATCCTAAAAAGCAAATGATAAGTTCATTCATACTGCTTACGATATAAAACGATGAGAATATGCTGAATCATCATTTTAAGCTGTTTAAGTAAGTCATTTTTGGTTCACGGGAGACAGGATGAAAAAAAAGGTTAATGATTTGATCTAACTTTACATTTTATTCAAAAGGTTCTTAACATTATTGAGGCTTCAAAGGTCCTTGAGCAAACGGAGAGTTTCTATTTGTTTCTAAATAAAATATTCCACGAAGTGACTTATCAAAGTTAGAAGGTTCGCCTCCCATCCAAGCACCAGGTTGACCAGAACATCTACCACGACCAGCATCGCTTTCATTAGCACATTGCACTGCTAAGAACCTGTTGCTTCTTATAGATTCAACTGAATAATTTTTAAAAGAAAATTTATAAATTTTTTAATGAAAATATTTCAATTTTTTACCGTAATATTCAACAGCACGACCATGCGAACAAGTATTCGTCCAACAACCTGGTTGTCCCGAACCACCATTTGGAAAGAAGTCAGCATTTCCAATTGGAGCTCCAATTCCAGCTGCCAGCAATCCACCATTTGTGTGAATTCCTTCAACGTACATTGCGTCACCAACAGCTAATCTTTCGGCTGGGTTATTGATACTAAACAAGGGCCCAGCGGGATCAAGTCCAATAATTGTGTTTATTTTCCCTCTACGAACATTCTTTCCAGTCATTCCAGCAATGTGAGCTACATAAATTTTTTTGAATTAAATGTTTCAATAATTATTTTTCATATCAATTTCTACCTCCAAGAGAAAATCCGACGAGAGAAACTCGATTGAAATCGATAAAATTATTTTCATGAAGGAAATCCAAGTATGATGCGACAAATGTTCCGACGGTTGGAACTCGATTACGAGCACTTATATAATTAAGTGTGCTGGCACCTTCAGACCAATCAACAAAGATAACGTTAAAGTCATAAAAATCGAGAAACTCTCTTGAAGTTTCTACTTTAATGTCACTCGTTTCATCTTCCAACCATCCATGAATAAGAACACGTAAAGGCTTTGTTCGATCGAATGGACTTTGTTGTAAAGACAGCAAATCACGGAAACGAAGTTGAAGGGGATTTTGTCGATTAGATCTCGTACTCAATAATAGGCGAACATCTCTGTAAGCATCAAACATTTGTTCGATTGGTTCAAATTCGCTTTGCACTGGTGTGCTTGAAACTATAAAATTTAAATTATTTTCAAATGAATGATAACTAACAATGTTCTGTTAAACTGTCTCACCACAAGCCAGAATAGTTAACGCTGTAGCTATAATCAATTTCATTTTCTAACTTTAACTGATATGATCAGGAACAGAAAAATCGTTTAAATACAAAAAAGAAATATCGAAAAGGGCCAAACCGTGTTGACATTGATAATGGAAATTCCAAACAATTTTGATAACATTTCAAAGGAAATCAGCTTAAAGTGATTTAAGCTTTATATCCGCATCGTACGACTTTACCTACTTTTATGTCATATGATTTCGTTGTTGACTAAATATTGTTATCTTAACATTTGAAAATAATTAAAATTAAATCAAACGTAGAAAATTTTTCAAGGCACAATTTTAACGTCATCGATAAAGAAAAGTTTATCGACATTTTCAATCGTCAGTTTGTTTTTGTTTACATTGAGATAATTGGAAAAAAGCTTTTTAATAAAAACTTTTCGAGGTTGTTCAACTTTTTATAAGAAAACAAATAAATTTGTGGTTTTACTTTTATTTTTGATATGAATAACTCAATTAAATTTGATCATCAGTTTCAAATAAATTTTCAACTTCTCTACTTTCCAGACCACGTCCAAAAGGTGGCTCAGCATTAGTTGTGACATGATAAACTCCTGAAAGATTATTTGCTTCGTTTTCATCGTTATTGTAGAACGCGCCAGGTTCACCGTTGCAATTTCCATTCCAGGCATCGTCAAAGTTTTCACAACGTTTTCCATAAAAGGCTTTCGGATTATTAAAAGCTTCAATAATTATTTGCATTCCACGTAAATGTGAACAAATTTTGGCTAAATAAGACATGGAATTCTCACATCCAGGTTGAATCTTTCCAGAATTAAAATAAAAGTCAACATGACAGATTGGATCTTTCATTCCAAGTTTATATCCAGTGTGGGAACATTCAGTGTACTCCGCTGAAAGTGGACTCAACCGATGTTCAACATCAGAAACATTAAAAAGTGGCCCTGCTGGATCTATTCCAATAATCTTCCCAATTTTTCCACTTATTAAACTTTTCCCAGTCATTCCTGCAACATGACCACCCAAACTAAAACCGATCAATGTCACGTCTTTATAATTCAGGTTCACTTCCTTTTTGAGTGACTCTAAGAAAGTTGCAACAATTTTTCCTACTTCTGGAACTCGATCTCGAGCGTCCACATACACAAGTGCAGATGCACCTTTCGACCAATCAACGAAGAAAAGATTCACATTCTTCACTTTAAGTAAAGTCCTGGAAAGATCTTTAAACTCATTAATTCGTTATGAACTTTAATTGATTCTTACTTGCTCAACATCAAATGATGTTGCGATACGGAACTTTCTAAATATCCATGAATTAAGAAGATCGTTGGTTTGGAAACTTTAAAAGAAAATTCTTTGATTTTAGTGATGTTATCCAGTTGATAACGTGCTTCATCAAAGAGTGAACCATTAAAATTACGAAGAAACAAAATCACATCACGTTCAGCTATAAACCCTGATACTTGAATAATCACCAACAATTGAACAACAAACGTTAACTTGTGAATCAGAAGAAAATTCATTTTGATACTGTAAATTAGTTATTTTATGTGTTTTTATATATAATTGTGCAGCTGTTTTGGCTTAAAGTTGATATTTCAGTATCTGGCTGATAATCATTTGTTAATTAATGAGTGAAACTGTTAAACATTGCAATTTCTAAGCTATCGATAAAATCAAAATAAATTTTATAAAATTTCAATTGGATTTCTCATGAATTAATTATTTTTATAAATAAAAAGTTTGCTCCATTCGACGTTCTTTAACGAACCCTGAATATTATTCGTACAAAATGAATTCCAGAGTTTATCATATTTTATTAAAAATGTTATAATAAAAAGTAAAACAGCTATTCTGACTTACACAGATTTATAATTTTCCTTTCAGGTTTAAAAATTTTCCGATCGCAGTTGGCATATAAAAGAAAATTTCATCAACAAATCATTCTTTAATTGAAAGTTAAAGTGAGAAGTGAAAAAAACTGAAAATGAATAAAAAAACAATTATTGGTGTTGGTGGAGTGATGGTGATGGTTTATTGTGGATATAAGTTGTATAATTATTGGAAAGGTGAAGTGAAAAGTGAAGTGGAAAATGAATTGAAATGTGAAGTTGGTGAAATAGAAACTTGTGAAAAAAGTGAAGGAAAGTGGAGTGAAGCAAGTGATAAAGGTGGTGATAGTGAGTGGGATGAGTTTTGTGAATTTTTTGATGAGTTTGAAAGTGAAAATTGTGATGAAATTTAAAAAAATATAAAAATGAAAAAATAAAAAAAAAAACGCCAAAATTTTTTCAAACTCAATGGTTACTAGATCAAATTCCGATTTTCATGAAATTTTCTTTCACACTTTCCTCTAGATTTCAACAATTTTCATCAAAGTTCAAAGTAGTTAAAATGAAATTGATTTTTCTTCTTATCCGACTTATTTTTCTATCGAAGAATTAGATAATTTAATTATCATAATTAGAACACGAAAGAAGAAATGACTAACAAGATCAAGTAATGCAACACAAACTCAACATTCTCAATGATCAAAACTCAAAATATCATTAGCAAACTATGAAAAATTTTTTTGTCTAATTTTTTGACTAATTTTTAGTGCAGAATGAAAGAAGAAAAAAGTTGTTCGTATCATTAGCTAATGATTACAAATAGTCTTCGATTGGATGTCTGAAAATGTAATTAATAATAATTTGCTATTAGTGATTTATCAAATGTTTAGTGAATTTTTTTCAAACTACTCAGTTATTGATGAAAAACATTCTTAAGGCCTTTGAGGTCCTCTGGCAAACGGTGAATTACTATTTGTAACAAAATGAAAAATGCCACGAAGTGTCAAATTAAAGTTTGAAGGTTCTCCACCAAACCATGCTCCCGGTTCACCTGAACATGTTCCTAGTTGAGCTTGTAATTGGCTGTTACATCTCCGAGCGAAAAAACTGTTAGTTTCAATAGACTCAACTAAAAATAAAAATTAATTTAATAACATGAATTTTTTTCAGGAATTTCGATCTTACTAAAGAACGCAACCGCTCTAAGGTGATGGCAAGAATTTGTGAAACAACCTGGTTGAAGTGATCTAAAATATTAAAGATTGAACAATAAGTACATTTAAAAAATCTTTTATCAAAACTTTAATTACCCTCCATTGGGAAAGAAGTCAGCATGAGCGATAGGCGCTCCTATACCGGAACCAAGAGAACCTCCATTTGTATGAATTGCTTCAACATATTGAGCATCGCTAGCATCCAATCTATCAGCTGAATTATTGACACTAAACAAGGGACCTGCGGGATCAAGTCCAACAATAGTATTAATGAAACCTCGACGAACTAATTTCCCAGTAATTCCAGCCATGTGAGCTAAAAATTTTGTTTTCTTCATTTTAGAAAAAGAATTTTGATTTGAAAAATTTCAAGCAAACCTCCAAGAGAGAATCCAACAATCGAAACACGATTATAGTCAATGAAATTATTCTCGTGAAGAAAATCCAAATATGAAGCCAAAAACTCTCCAACAAGTGGAACTCGATTGCGCGCTTGAAGATAAGAAATTGTTCTTGAACCTTCTGACCAGTCAATAAACAAGATGTTAAAGTCGTAATAATCAAGCAATAAGCGAGAAGTTTCGATATTTATATCGCTTGTTTCATCTTCCCACCATCCATGAATCAAAACGCGAAGCGGCTTTTGACTATTGAACGGGCTTTGTTGAACTGATGACAAATCGCGGAAATTCAATCGGATTGGATTGTCGCGATTTTCCCTTGTTGAAAGCATAATGCGAACATCACTGTATGCATTGAATAGTGGATTAATTGGTTCCAATAGTCCAATGGAAGAACTGCAAGCTGTAAGCAGAAAAAATATTTTGATCATTATTTTTCTTATCTAATCTTGAAGATAATCAAAAATCACCACACGCAACTAAAGTCACGAAAATTCCCACAAACAGCTTCATTTTAACGTTTGCTACTAAAATCATACTCGCTTTGACAATGCTTTTATACACATGGTCAGACCAATATAAAAAAAAACTTAATCAGTTGATAAAAGATAAGGAAAAGCTTAAAATTAATTCATTGACTTTGATGTTAAGCTCGCCGGTATTTAAAAGTTGCAAATAAAAATTTTAGTGAATATTTCCAGAATGTTTTCTTTCTTTATAATCATGAAAAGTTGTTACTTGTGTTTATTAGTTATTTTTATTAGTTAGGGTACAATTTCCACTTCATCATTTATAGCTTCAGCTGCAGCAGTGTTGATTTGATAAATTCCACTTGGTGATTCTTCTTCAAGTTGAATCTCGATGGGATCTAAAGTGCATCCTGACGCAACTTCGTTGATATCTTGACATGTAGCTATAGCAAAATTATGTTGTCCATTAACAAATCTCGAGAATACAATGACAGATCGGTAGTGAGAACAGTCAATGTTTTTATCTAAAAAGTTTTGAATTTAATAAATTTTTTAAATTTATGTTTCAATTATTTTAACTTACCAACACATTCCGGTTGTGTTTTTCCATCATTCACATAATAATCAATATTTCCAATTGGATTAAACATTCCCAGTTGATCGCCGTTTGAATGAAAAACTTCGACAAGTTTTGCGTCGCCAATGCTCAATCGATTTGACGATGTGTTCTCATTGAAGTGTTGTCTTGAAGGATCAAGTCCTATGATTCTTTTAATTCTGCCCCTTACAGTGTTCTTCCCCGCAATCCCAGCAATGTGTGCACCAAGATCATACCCAACAACATGCAAAGTTTCATAATTCATGTTGAGCCAATCGATGAACCGGGAAACAGCAACTCCAATCATATCAACTCTACTTCGAGCATATTCATAGTAGGGACTTACCATTGCACTCCAATCAACAACTATAATGTTATAATCGTTCTTCAAAAGATAACTGTTCTTGAGATCACGATTTATTATTGATCTTCCATTCTGTTCATAACCGTGGATGATCATTCTAAAAAATATCGAAATGAATTAAAATGTTTATTAAGAAAATGGCGATTCAAGTCACACCGAGTTGGTTTAGAATTCTGAAAGTTACTAAAAGCTACGGAATTGACGTTGCCATAAACTAACGGTTGACCATTTACTGGATTGATTTTGGTGTAAAGTTGATAAGTTATTCCTGTACGATAGTTCAAACTCCACCAAAATAATCCAAAACAACTTTTAATTATAATTAAAAAAGAGATTGCACAACAACTGAATTGCATCATTAATCAAGTTTAAATGAAATGAAAATTATTTCAATTATCGAAGTTTGAAAAGTTTCGCGTGTTTTAAAATTTTATCTCTGACTTTGACCTGCATCACTCTAAATGACTTTTTTATAGTTCAACCTGCTATCAAAAAAAAAAAAATTACAAGCTCTCACATCAACAATTGTTTGTCTTTGGATTTGTTATGTCGATAAGTTATGATAATCTTTTGTATGTGCATTTAGTATTCAAATAAGCCAGACAAAATATTTTATTCACGTTTAGAAACAGAAACTTTAAAGGCTTTTTCTTAATTTGGAAATTATTGTTGAATTTTTTATAAGAAAATAAGACATAAAAGCATGTGTTGTTATTACAACGAATTCATAATTTCTTTTCAGGTCTAAAAATTTTCCGATCGCAGTTGGCATATGAAAGAAAATTTCGTCAACAAATCATTCTTTAATTGAAAGTTAAAGTGAGAAGTGAAAAAAACTGAAAATGAATAAAAAAACAATTATTGGTGTTGGTGGAGTGATGGTGATGGTTTATTGTGGATATAAGTTGTATAATTATTGGAAAGGTGAAGTGAAAAGTGAAGTGGAAAGTGAAGTTGGTGATGAAGTTGGTGAAATAGAAAATTGTGAAAAAAGTGAAGAAAAGTGGAGTGNGATGAAATTTAAAAAAATGAAAAAATGAAAAAATAAAAAAAAAACGCCAAAAATTTTTCAAAGTCTATGGTTACTAGATCAAATTATGATTTTAATGAAATTTTCCTCCATATTTTCCTAAAGATTTCGACAATTTTCATCAAAGTAGTCAAAACGAAATTAATTTTTTTTTCTCTTCAGATTTATTTTTCTGTCGAAGAATTAATCAGGCCAAGAAAGAAGAAATGACTAACAAGATCAAGTAATGCAACACAAACTCAACATTCTCAATGATCAAAACTCAAAATACCATTAACAAACTATGAAACATTTTTTTGTCATTTCATTNGTGATGAAATAGAAACTTGTGAAAAAAGTGAAGAAAAGTGGAGTGAAACAAGTGATAAAGGTGGTGAGAGTGAGTGGGATGAGTTTTGTGAATTTTTTGATGAATTTGAAAGTGGAAATTGTGATGAAATTTAAAAAAATGAAAAAATGAAAAAATAAAAAAAAAACGCCAAAAATTTTTCAAAGTCTATGGTTACTAGATCAAATTATGATTTTAATGAAATTTTCCTCCATATTTTCCTAAAGACTTCGACAATTTTCATCAAAGTAGTCAAAACGAAATTAATTTTTCTTCTCTTCAGATTTATTTTTCTGCCGAAGAATTAATCAGGCCAAGAAAGAAGAAATGACTAACAAGATCAAGCAATGCAACACAAACTCAACATTCTCAATGATCAAAACTCAAAATACCATTAACAAACTATGATAGTTTGAGTAACACCAATGAATAATTTTTAGTGCAAAATGAGAAAAGATCCATGAAGGTGTCGTCAGAAAATACAATCGAAAACCATCAAAACATTTCCACAAGTTAAGCAAATTGTGTTGACCGGAAGTGTCAGTGAATACCTTTCTTCGATTTTGTTCTTCTTTTAGTATAAAAATATGATAACTAGAGAAATGTTTATCTATTCAAACAAACTGAAAGAAAATGCTACAATTTCAATAAAAGTAAAAAATTTCATAAATAAAAACAATTTTATTCAGTTACAAAAAAAGTCAATAGAAAAACAATCTGTTAAAGGCACGAAAATAAAAGGAAACAAGGAAAGTTATTGTCATCTTTGTTATGAAGCACTCGAAGCAGGACATCTTGCAACACTTGATTCTGGTTCGTGAGATTGAGTCCCGTTTTCATCTGTTGGTAAGTAATCTTTCCAACTTCTGAATAAATATCTTGTGAATTTCCTCAGTTGTCGAAACTTGCAATAAGTTGCACCTTCCGCTGATTGCAGTTGTTGTGTCTGAATAAGAAATCCTTTTTCTTTGAATGTCTTTTCAAGTTTCGCTCGTTGAATCGAACGATTTGATGACTTCTTTCTCCTATTAACGCGATCTTCTTCGGAATCAATTCTCATTTGAACATTTTCAGGTTCGATCGTAAAATTATTATTGTCCAATATCTTTGATGTATCAACGTCGGTTGTTAAATTCAAAAGTTTATTGTTCAAATCCACAGTAATTGGTGGAAGTAAATCCAAAGGGATTTTCTCACTCGCTGCATTAAGAAATGCATTCGTGTGTGAACCTGAAGCTAAACTACTTTGTCTAAGACTTTCACGCGGAAAGAATTCATATCCTCGCATTGACTTATCACCCGTTCCTGAGTAATATCTGAAGTTACCTCCGGCATCAACTGAAAGAATTTTCTTCTCTTGTAAACTGGGCTTGGCACCACCAGTGAATTTAAACTTACAAATGCTGACCTCATTTGTAGGATTGGTTGAAGAAGTTTCAGTTTGTACTGGCGGAATGAAAATTGCTGATCGCTTTCTTTTCTGTGACTGACTATTTGACACTGACACTGGTACTGGTTGTTTCTTTGAGTCTAATGTTGTGTTTTTTAAAAGTTCCGATAAAGCAGGTGGCGGACTATGAAGAAAATTTTCATTTTTTATCATCTGTGATAAAGTTTCCATGTCAAAATCTGGATTTTTTAAATCGAAACCACATGATGACATGTTTTGTTCCCACAATGTATTCGCATCGTTGTTAAACATTGATGAGATTGAAGAATTTGATGATGATGTTGACGAATCGTTAGTCATTCTTCCATCCATCATTTTCTGATAGTAGAAAGCCATTGGATGAATAAATAAGCCAGCACTGGGCCAATACACGTAACCTGGCGGTGCCCCTGATAATGAAGGAGTTGTAGGTGTTGATGTTGAACTTGAAAGTGGAGGTGTGACGTTCGTGGTTCTAAAAAATTCTCTACTTGTTGCAGGCAAATCTCCCGATAAATCAAGTGGCGATATCAATGAAGGAATAGTCGATGAAAATTCCAAATCAATGCTGTCAGTTTCTGCTGGATCGATCATCGCCTTTGCACGTGTAGGTGGTGGACCTAATCCATTACTATCTTCATTGTCGTCACTGATAAGAATTGAAGAGTCTTCAACTTGAAATTTTGTTTCACGAATGCAAAGATTTAAAGGTTCGTTTTGGGACAATTTGGTTGCAGTTTTCGTTGATTTTGTTGTTGAATTATCGTTCAATTTCGATTCATTTTCTTTAACTTTCTTCAGTTGAAGTGTTGGTGACTTTTTCTTCAAATGTTCAGCAGGTTTCTTGATATTTGTTGATGTTGCAATGGTAGTTGTAGCTGTTGATGCAGCACTTCCTGGAACGATCGTTCCATAATTCTTATAAATCAAGTGACAAATATCAGCTTTCTTTGGTTTTCGACCTCGTCTTGGCTTCATATTCTCTAAAGTCATTTCGCCCATATAAGGCAAATCCTTTAAGCATTGCGTCTTAGAAGTTGTTGGAGGTACTTCAATCGGGATATTGCGAACCTTTGGCAGTTGTTTCACTTCATCACTATTTTGTGTTTCTAAAATATTCTGCAACCAGTAGATGATACTTTCATTATTTATTTTCGTATCAATATTCGGTTTTTCTGCAACAGGTGGTGGCGCTGTTGCTGGCAATTTCGTATTTTGCTTCTTCTTAGGTGGGATTGATTGTTGTTGTTGCTGTTGACGCAGATTCTCTTGCACTTGCAATTGATTTTGTTGTGATTCATAATGATTCAGATATTCTGCAGGAATTGCTTGATGATGAAAGCGAAGTTTCATTGGACCTTTTCGTCTTGTTTTTGTGGTCGAACGTTGCGTTCGTGTTGTGTGAGATTCTGACATGCGAGATACTTGAAACTTCGATTTAAGAGATTGCTGACTTGGACTTGTGGTTTCGAACGAGGGCGTTGTGGGAGTATCGGTGCTAGTTGAGTCACTTCGTAGAAGTTCATTGTCATGGTTATCGATCTCTTGATTCACGCTCGATATCATTGGATCGTCTGACGTTCGCCTAAAAAAGGAAGAGAAAAATCATTAAAAATGGGGATAATAAATCAATAGATTAGTCTCACAAAAAGTTAATTCCATAGTTAAACGGCCACTTGTTGATGTCTGGAGAGTCTTCAGACTTTATTTTGGATGGTTGCAGGGTAGTTTTATTATAAGTGGACGCATTTGTCGACTCCAAATCAATCAGTTCATTTGGATTTGTGTTTGATGTCGTCGCCTTTTCCGAGTAGCAATTGTTAACATTTAAAAAACCAAAATCTTCTTGCATCGTACTTCCAACTATGCGAAACAAGAAAACAAAGTAGGAATGAGAATCCAGTTACAAACTTCTTAAACATTATCGACATAAAAATGAAAATATTTATAAATAGAAAAAAATATTGAAACATTTTCCTCAAATCTTTAGTAAAAAAAAGAAAATAAGGCAAGAAAAACACGAGCGAGAGAGCGGCAAGGAAATACTCTCGTCAACATATCATGATGTAACAACCACTGCACAATTTTACGAACGAAACGGCAAGCGAAGATTATGATCACACGGGTGTGGGGTAAAATTTACCTGAAAATAGTTCTGGTAACATTATATCTGTTGATTGCGACACGAATGGAGAAATTGTAATGGATATCTGAAAGTTTCTTTGTTTTATAACTTTTCTTCCGGAATTTTATTTTCTCTTCTTTTTTATTTTCTCCTTCATTAATTTCATTCCTTATAAGGAAATGTATGACGTTTGAATTATATTTCAATAATCTTTCATGAGTAAGTTTTTCTTTGTTGGCTTGATCTTTCTTCTTGATTATATCATTTCATTATTTTACTAAAACTCTCACAATTATGTCAAGTCAATGATCTTATCAATGATCACATTCCGAAAATCAGCAAGAAAATCTCATTGACAATCGCGGTTTCAACTTGGTCGTCGTACGTCGAATACTAAACTAAGGAAAAATTGTGAAAGAAAACGATTTCAAGTAGTAAAACCGGGAGAGGAAAATTTTTTTTTGTCGAAGAAGAAAAGGTTTCTTAATAAGATTTTCACTCGCATATATGCTTTAAAGCTAAAAATAACCTGAAAAGAATCGACTTTACACACATTTTTTTGCGCGCCCTGAACACAGATCTCTGACCATTTCAGATTCGCGTATTTTCGTGGGCCATGTTCGGGAAGAGAGAAACCGAATTTGAGCATTTGGCGAAGATCAACTCCTTAATGTAACAATTTAAAAAACTGCCGCATCGTGATCTTTCTTACTGAAGTTTTCTTTTTCATATCTACATTTGTTTTTCTTGCTTCATTTTCCTGAATAAACCGTCGAACCTCTACATCTAAAAATACTAATTCAACTTTTTTTTTTATATCTAAGAAATCTGAAATGAAAATAATGTGTGAGAAAAACATTTACATTTCCTTAATTGAATGAAAAAGAAAATTTAGCAAATGTTCTCTTCTCTGTGCATGCTGGCAAATTTGAAAACTTAACTCCTTGAGTAATATTTTTGTGGGAAGTTTGCCAAACATTTTAAAGTAATGAGTGTATGAATTATTGCGACTCGCAATCAGAAATGTTCATCCATAGAAGGAAATTTGCCCTTTCACTTCTATGAAAATAAATAGAAAGCTAGTAACATACATTTGTAAGATTGAAATCTCGGAGGTTTTGTCCATCTAATTTTAACTTCATACCGGCCACACACAATCGTTCGAACATCTCGTATTTGTACTGAAAAATACTTAATTAGGAAGTGAAAATGATCTATTTAAGATTTATGAAGTCAGATGTGTGTTTTTTCCTATTTTCTGCTGTTTAATGAATCGTCTCGTAAAAAAGTCTCTCAAGTGCGTTAAATGCGTTGAACAAGATTATGCATTTGTATGTCATAACTAAAATTATCGTGGGCTTTAGGGAAATTAATGTTCAAAAGAGAATGTTGAACAACAACATACATGTTAAGTGATTTTTTATTATTTTTAACATTACATTGAACTCGTTTTTAATCAAGTTTCTCATTTCTCAAAAAAATTTCAATCACATCGATCGTCCTAAAATATGTCCAAGTGACCAAGACCATTTCATCACATATGGGAATCAAATTTCTTGTGATCTCTGACAGAAAGAAAATTTTAAAAGTTCTTCATATCTTGTGCACATGAATGTTTTGTAAAAGGAAAATGAATCCACACACTCATAGACATGAAATACGATCATAATCCATTTCCACACATGCGCAGTCGAATGCAGAGATAAGCAAACATTGAGAGAATCATAACATATTTTAGAAATATTCTTACAAAGCCCTGGCAGAATTTTTGTAAACATATCTGAACGTGATAGTGTTGGTGAGAATTGCATGTAAAAACGGAACAGTCAACTACATTCAACAACGTTTTTGTTTATTCCAGATTTTAATTTCTTTTCTGCTTGAGAATAGAGTAGTCTTCTTTAGTCACGTAATAATATTTGATTTAAACTAATTGTAAAACATTGTCCGCGGAGACTGTAAGCGATTCAAGTGAATTAAAAAGTGATAACAGTGAAAAAGCTTCTGTCACTAAGCAGAATTCGATGTTTTGTTAGTTGAATCTCATCAAGGAAAAGCAAAACGGGAAAAATGAAAACTTCTGTCGGCAATTGTTCGATTTGGTATAGTTTCATATTCTTGTTGAGCCATTGCGATAGTATTAGTGGAAATGATGGTAAGATATTTAAGTTTATTATGCACAATTTTATGCATTTTCATGCATTTCTGTCAGCATTGTCTTCAACAATTCCAGTGAATTTTAAATGAGGTCGATAAAAATGAACGGAAAAATCGATATTTTCTAGTGCTGGAGCTTTCGTCAGAAGCTGATAAACTGAAGTGATCCCTAACAGTTTGTTTATCGCATAAGCTCAAAAATTCAGGGTTTCCAAATGAATTTCAATATTTCATCATTTTCTAGAAAGTCTTTAATTAATCATGACCGGTCTCTTATCACCAACGACAGTAGCGTAGAATCTTTGTCTTATTTTGTGTCATGATTTCGTCTTATCTGTTTGAAACTTATAAATATAATGTACTTCCTCAAATGTTTTATGTGTTAAAGATGAAACAGTCATAAAACACATTTTATTTTCTTGAAATTTGAAAAATGTGCACATGGCATTCATTCATTCAATGATGAAATGAATGTTTTATTAACTGTTTCCATTTAACTTTTGATGTTAGACTAACTAAATGTTTATTCCATCTTTTTTTCTTATTATGCTTGAAGAGAGTCCGCTGATCTTCACAGTCGCATCGGAACGAACAGATGGATATTTACGCTACATTCGCTCAGCAGAGCATTACAAATTAAGCGTAAGTGTGATGATTGATTTCCGGTTTATGGTAGAATCTTTCTTTTCACGTATTTAGCTATTTTGTTTGAAATTCATTACTAATTGCCTTCAAAGTTATCATCACTAACAAGTAATTTGTATTTAGGTGACAACACTTGGCTTAGATAAGCCATGGAAAGGTGGTGACATGAACTTTCAAGGTGGCGGGTATAAAATAAACTTGTTTAAAGATGCACTTGAACCCTACAAAAGCGATGACAATCGCTTGGTAATGTTCACTGATAGGTAAGTTGCACTTACTCTACTGTCATTATTCATAAGACTTTAGAATGTTTTCGTTCAAACAACTTCATAATTGAAATCGCGATTCAATGAAGGGAATAAGTGTCAAACATGTCACACGATTTTATCAAACGCTTCTCGTTTATTAAATGAACGTAATAAAACCATAATTGTTCATAAGCAAAATTTATTCAAAATTTGAAGCAATTGATGGAACAAAATAAAAGTGAACCGCATGTAGGTTGAATTGGTTGTTTCACGTTCACCGCGAAGCTGAAAAAAGCACGCTAGCGTAGGAAGACGTTGAATTTATTTCTCCAAGTTTTGCGCGCTGTAACATTTTTTTCAACTGCAGCACTCTTGAAAAGTTGAAGTGCGATATTTACTTACAAAGCTTTCTAATATTTATTCACATTCATTAAAATGTTTAACTCTTAATCACTCACCATTAAATAAAAATAAAATAAATCGCGTAATGTTGAGATTTGTGTTAAAGATGATCACATCAATGGTTACAATAATGACCATGTCTTTCATGTGCTGCTTCACTTGTTTTATGAGAACACCTTTTCTTGTTGTAAACAATTTCTTAGGATCAGAAAATGTTTCACAAGTTTATGGTTTTTTATTTCTCTTCATTTTAAATTCAAATCACCATTCAATATTCACACTTGACTGAATCTGATGGTGATTTATTGTGGATAAACAAACAAACAACTTAATTAATTTATAAACACATATCACAGCTTCTCAATTTCATTAATGATTATGATTTCAATAGCCAATAACTTTGATTACAATTACGCGAACAGCAACTAATAATAATCAACTTAAGCTGAACGTCGCGGCACGATAAATTGAAGTCTAAGTCTCCATGCGACAGCAAATGAAATTGAATGAGGAAAAAAAGTAAAGTTTAAGCGAAGAAAAATGCTGTTTTTCGTCCTACGCTACTCAGTCTCTTTGCCTGCTTTGTCTCATTTCATTCATATATAGCAGAAAATAAATAAAAAACTTCATCCAAGTCCGGAGCAAGGCACAACTCAACTCAACTCATAAAATTGTTTTGTGTGATTTTTTTTCTTTAATAATTTTTTTGTCACATTTTCTCTATATTTGAAAATATCTCAACGAAGCTCTTTGCGTTGTTGTGCTTTTGAGATATTTGCGGCCGTTTTTGGGTGATGAATTTGAATGAAGAATTGGACTCATAACAAATACTTATTAGACGAGACTCTCTTAATTTCAAATCATTTTTTATTTGTCCTTTTTTCATATTTACTTCCGTTCAGTTATGATGTCATTTTTCTGGCACAATGGGAGAGTATCGTGGAGAAGTTCAAAGAGATGAAGGCAAAAGTTTTGTTTTCAGCTGAAAATTTCTGCTGGCCAGACGACGAACTCAAAACAAAATATCCACCTGTTGAAGGCGACGTTCAAAAGTATCTCAACTCAGGATTATTTATGGGATATGCGTCGAATATTTACAACATTCTCAACTCACGCGTTATCAAAGACACTGACGATGATCAATTGTTCTACACACATGTATATCTTGATGATAAACTTCGTGAACAAAATAAAATTAAATTGGATCATAAATCGAATTTATTCCAAAATCTTAATGGAAATGTTGGTAAGTTTTTCATTAGAAGCTTAAAATTGCTTTCAAATCTAATGAAATTTTTATTGTTTTCCATTTTCTTTCTTCAAGGCGACGTTTCAGTGTCAATTGATGGTGAAGGTGAAACAAAACTTCTCAATAAAAAGTTCGTCACTCATCCTGCAGTTGTTCATGGAAATGGACCAAGTAAGTTAGCATTGAACAACTTTGGAAATTATCTTGCTGGTGCTTTCGTTGATGGTGAATGTATGACATGTCAGGAACATAACATTCCAGTTGAAGATCGCGAATCTTTCACCATTCTTGTCGCTCTCTTTGTGGAATTTCCAACGCCATTTTTGGAAGAATATTTCGATAAAATCCTAACTTTGACTTATCCAAAGAACAAAATTCATCTCTTTGTTCACAATAAGATTGAGTATCATTCAAATCTTGTTGACACATTCCTCAATCATGCGAGTGAAGAGAAATATCTCAGCATTAAAGCAATCAACGCTAAAGACGGAATAAGCGAAGCAACTGCACGAGAATTAGCCGTCAATCGTTGTCTAACAAAGAAATGCGATTATTTGTTTGTCATCGACTCGGATGTTCATCTTGAGAATCTCGACACTTTAAATGAACTTATCGCATTTAATAAGACGATTGTTGCTCCAATGGTCACACGCGTTGGTGGTGTTTGGAGTAATTTCTGGGGAGCTGTCAGTGAGAAAGGTTTCTATGCACGCTCAAGTGATTACATGACGATTGTCAACTATGAAGTGCGCGGTATTTGGAATGTCCCATTTATATCTTCATGCTACTTAATCAAGTCAAAAATACTCAATAAACTTTCTTATACCAAAGCTGAAGTTGATGCTGATATGGCACTTGCTGAACATTTGCGTAATCATGGAATCTTCATGTTTGTTTCAAATCTAAACGAGTATGGTCACTTATTAAATCCAGACAATTATGACATTAAGAAAACTCGACCAGAGTTTTATGAAATATTTGCAAATCAATTTGATTGGGAGAAACGATTCATCAGAGAAGATTACTACACGCAACTTCTTGAAGAAACTGTTCCGAAACAACCATGCCCAGATGTTTATTGGTTTCCAATTGGCACTGAGATTTTCACTGAGAGTATGATTGACATTATGGAAGCTTTTGGTAAGTGGAGTGATGGATCGAATTCTGATCAACGTTTACAAGGCGGATATGAAGCTGTGCCGACTCGAGACATCCATATGAATCAAGTTGGCTTGGAAGCGATTTGGTTGAAGTTTTTACAACTTTACGTGAAGCCATTACAAGAGAAAGTTTTCATTGGATACTTCCACGACCCACCGCGTTCTTTGATGAACTTTGTTGTTAGATATAGACCTGATGAGCAGCCTTTTCTACGACCACATCACGACTCATCAACTTACACAATAAACATTGCCTTGAATCGTCGAGGGATCGATTATGAAGGTGGCGGTTGTCGCTTTATAAGGTAAACGCTTTGAGAAGAGATTAATTGAATAAAGTTTAGCATTTATTAATATTATTTACAGATATAACTGCTCGGTTCTTGACACTGAACGTGGTTGGATGTTAATGCATCCTGGTCGCTTAACGCATTTCCATGAAGGTTTAACTGTCACTAAGGGAACACGCTATATCATGATAAGCTTTGTGGATCCATAAGCAAATAACTCGCCATATCAACTGCTATCGACAAATAAAAAAGTTACTTACAAGAATGATTAGTGATTTACTAAATAAAAATTATGCCAAAGTTAAATATCGTAAATCTAACTCATTTTAAAAAGAATTTTACATTGAACAAATATCTATAATTATAATTAAGAAAATTTATTTTTTACATTAGAAAACTTTTTCTTATGTGTCACTGATCATTCTTTGTTCACTTAGAATTATTTAGGTTGTGCCGTAAATGATAGAGACAAATAATATACAATAAAGGATGAAACATTTTTAATGCAAAAGAAGGGTGATTCAGAGCAATGGAAGATTGATAAAAAAAGCTTTTGTCTTATCGAGAATCTACTGCTCTGAAAATTTTATTTATTAATTTGTGATACAAATTTTGTTTTAGTTGTTCTTTATCTTTACATTCGATTTTAATACTGTATTAGAAACTCCTTTTAACATTCAAAGCTTGAAAAGAGATAAGATTCGTCGATGCATTCAAGGGATTGCTTCAAAGACAACACCAATGAAGACAAGAAAAAGAAATAAAAAATTTAAAATGCAAGATCGAAATGAAGAAAGAAAAATTTTGACAAAACTTATTAATCCAAAAGTTTAACAAAATCATCAGCTGTGAAGCAATCCCCAATCTCAATTCAATGTCATTCCATCATTCCTTCATTCTTTATTTCTTCTTCATTGGATGAATTGGATGAACCATTTTTGACATATCCGGTGGGCTCACTGCGTAGTTTGCAACTTCATCCAAAGCTTTTTGGGCGTAGATCCACATTTCCTTGTTTTCATTCTTGAAAGTTTCGTACCATTTCTTGACAAGTGGATATAGAGACAAATCAAACCTTGCCGCCTCCAAAACAGTTGAAGAGCATGCAAGAGAAATATCAGCGATGGTCACTGTGTCACCTGCAACATACTTCTTTCCCAATCGTTTCATATATTCTTCAAATACTCCAAGAACATTATGAACTCGTTTTATCCCTTGTTCAGTTTGCGGATAATCGAAGAATATCGGCGCAACAATAGCAGCGGCAATTGCAGAGTAGAAGAATGAAGTGTTGAAACACAACCGTTGATTTACAATTGCACGATGACGTGCTTCAACCGGATATAAGCTTGATTTTGGAGCGTACTTGTCACAGATATATTGCATAATCGCAACATGTTCGGACAATAAAAATCCATTGTCATCAATGACGGGAATTTCTCTTTGAGGATTGAGCTATTAAAAAAAATTAAAATCTTTGAAATAATATTAAAAAAAAAATTATTGCATCACCTTCCAGAAATCATCAGTTAAAGTTTCACCTTCGTAATATTTTACGTATCGAAATACGTAAGGAACTTTCAAATGTTCCAACAATATCCTGACTGCAACACTTGGTGGTCCTAAAATTCAAATTATGATTAGTTCTTGAAATATTACATCAAGTAGTCGAAATACCGTCAGTCAATGCGTGCAATGTAATCATAATTTAGACTTAAATATTTTTAAATAATCTTCAAATATGTTCTAGCACCAACAATTTCTGAAAGTAAACTAATAAATAAGCCGAAATATTCTGCTTCACATCTATATAAATATCTTTCAATTGAACTTTGCGCATTAACTGAATCAATTAGGGAAAAGTCCGTTAATCTCGTGAGAGCTAAAAATATTTTCATTCTGATATTCATCAGAAGGAAAACAAAAAGAAACGTGACAAAAGTAATAAAATGTAGGTTTGTAGTGTGAAGGTCATTATCAAAAATTAATACAGACAACGGCGCATAACTGTGAGCATGTTTATTTATAAAATACAAACGCGAGTCATAGTCAAGAAGTGTTGTGTGAATTTAAAAATATTTGTATGAATTATCGATCATAAGCAACCGGTTTTCTTTCCCGGTTCTTTGGATGTTCAACGAGATTTTCAATTCGTATTTATTCTAAATTGATTTTATGTAAAGTTCTGGCAGATTTCTAACATAATCGACATTTCCACATGATTCTCCATCATTTCAACTTTAATTATTTTCAAGAACTACCAACAATCCCTTTCTTCGAAACACAAAAATGACATAGAAATGTGAACTTTAGAATCTTGCACAAGCCTTCTTTTATTTTTACATCAATTGTTGTCCGGGAAAAAGAGTCATAAAAAACTTAAGGCCCATGATAAGATATTAAAATCTCAATTTACTGATTACGTTTTCTTATAAATATTTTGAAATTAAACTGAGGGGGTTCAGTTTTCTTTATAATTTGAGTGCGTTGACATCTTTAAAAAAAAATTAAAATGAAAATATTTTTACTCTCAGCTATTTGTGTCATTCTTGTTGCAGCATCTCCAAGTAATCGAAATCTTCCGCAGTTTGATGACAAAGTTGAACTTCAAGACCAAAATAATGTAAATGATGAACAGGAAATTTCGCCAATGTTCAATGCAGCAACTGACACGAGATTCTTGCTTTTTACTCGATTTAATCCAACCATCGGTCAAGTTGTCAGTGCATTTGACATGAGTACAATTCAGGAATCAAATTATTCTCCTGCAAGACCTACCAGAGTTCTGATTCATGGATGGCAGAGGTAACGTACTTAATTTTGGTGAAAAAAATTAATTGAAAAACCTTTTCAATACTTAGCAATGCAGATTCGAATGTAAACGTGTTGACTACCGCTGGTTATCTTCGTAATTACGACGTAAATGTGATGTATAAGAAAGATTTTAAGCTCGTTCAAAGATTATTTTTTTAAAACATTTTACATTGTTAAGTGTCGTAGATTGGTCAATTGGAGCTAACAACATCAATTACATTGCTTCAAGGAATCAAGTCAATAATGTTGGCGCTGTCATTGCAGTTTTATTAGATAACCTTCAAAGCAATGGTTTAATGGCTGACTTTAGTCGATTGTCTTTAATTGGTCATAGCCTTGGAGGTGAACTTTTACGTTCATAAATCGCATAGAATTCTGATTAAATTCAATTCTTTTATTATACAGCTCACATAGCTGGTGCAGCTGGAAAGCGAGTGTTGAATGGTCGCATCAACACAATCATTGGACTTGACCCTGCTGGCCCACTTTTCTCAGTTGGGGATGTTGCAAATAGACTTGATGGTAGTGACGCTGCTTATGTTGAAGCTATTCACACTGATATTGTTCAATTAGGAATTGGAGATCCAATTGCTGACACAGATTTTTATCCAAATGGTGGCACTGGAATGCCAGGATGTTTAAGTAAGTTCTAAGTAAAATGAAATTCATCAGTTTAGAAACAATTCAATATTTTTCAGCTGCGATATGCGATCATGACATGGCCATTCACTATTTTGTTGAATCCTTAAACTCTGACCGTCTTTGGGGACGTCGCTGTGCAAATTTAAATGAAATGACTAGCGATCGTTGTTCAGGTTTCGGAGCTTCTATGGGTGGTGAACCATCAAATTTTAGAAACAACTTGAATGGAATCTTCCGAATGCCTACAAATGCGAACTCACCATTTGGCATTGGAACTTTTTAATTGCAATCTGCAATGATTATTAGTTGACATCTGCAAATTGTTTTAATTAACTAATTGAATGTTGCTAAACCAAGATATTTGTCAAGACTTGAACAAAAGATTTTCAATAATAACAATTTGTATCTTGTTCAACAACACTTATCGGAGTTTCTGTTTTCTTATCAAATTTGATTTTTTTTTTAATTTGTCAAACTTCTTAGGTAGGCAATTATTTCAGTTCAGCTACAACCATGAGATTGTTCGTAATAATTTTTATATTTTTCATAGCTCAAGGTAAATAATTTCACTCATTTTTCAAATGAAATGAAAGAAATGTTAACATCATTCCAACCCAAGGCAATTCAAATCAAATCACGTCAATCGATTTCGAATCTTTGGAGATTGAAGGAAAACTTTTTCGACCACTTTTCAACCCTACAGTTGATGTGAAATTTTTACTTTTTACGAGGCGAAATCCATTTGTGGGTCAAAGAATTATCCTTGGGGACATCAGATCATTATTTGAAAGTAATTTCAATATCTCCAATCCGACAAGGTAGGAAAAGGTTGATATAAAAATCGAAAGGTTTTGTTTTTATGACGTAATAAATTAGATTTAAGGTTTTTGATTCATGGATGGGGTTCAGATTTGAATTCCTTCTTCAATATTGAAGGAACAGAAGCTTATTTGCGAAACAACGACTTCAATGTTATTGTGTAAGTTTTGGATGGGAGACATTCAATATTGTTTTGATATTTATCGATAAATGAAATCAAACTTTTTAAAATTTTTAGAGTTGATTGGTCTCGTGGTGCGCAAACAATAAATTACGTTCAAGCAAGGAATCGTGTTGGTCCCGTTGGACGAATTTTAGCAAATTTTATCGATTTTTTACATGATAATGAAGCGTTGAACTTTGAAGAATTGACAGTAGTTGGGTTCAGTCTTGGAGGTGAATTGAGAATAAGCACAAATTATGTTACTAACATTAACTAAATAAATTTATTCTATTAGCGCATGTTGCTGGTTTTGCGGGTAAAAATGTCAACCGTGGAAGAATAAACACAATCATTGGTCTCGATCCTGCTGGGCCATTATTTCCCATCAGAAATCCAAGTGAAAGATTGAATGCAACCGACGCTGAATATGTTGAAATAATTCACACAAACAGCAGAATGACGGGAATTGGATTCCCCATTGGCGATGCTGATTTCTATCCAAATGGAGGAATGGTAAGTAAAATATAATTTTAGGAAAGGTTTTCTAAATTTCTTTTGTCATTTAAGACACAACCTGGTTGCGTCAGACATTTCTGTCACCATGATCGTGCACCGTTGTTCTTTATTGAATCCATCAACTCAAACAATTTCTTCGCTCGTGCTTGTTTAAGCTTTTCCAATATCGGAAGAGATTGCATTGGCGAAGAAGTAACAATGGGTGGCGAACCCTCAAACAGCAAAAATAGCGTGCGAGGAATTTTTTATCTGACGACAAATCGTCGGCCGCCTTTCGCTCAAGGACCCAGAGGTAGACAATCAACATCCAATTTACCTTGAAGCTAAAGACACAAAAGTGTGCATAATCCTCCTTCAATTCACATGATTAAGATTTATCGCTGTTGTTCTGCTTTATTTACTGTAAGAAGAAAGAAAAATCACCCAAAAGGCATTTTCTTTTGAAAAAAAAGAAAAAGTATAAATAAATAAAAACAGACGACTTTCATTTGTGTGCTTTCAGTTTCATGTTCAACGTGTGCTCTATGAGAAGGCGCAAAAAAGAATCATAAGAGCATCAACAGAAACACCCTCTTGTAACGGTGTTCAGTCCGACAGCCTGGAGCCGAATAATCATTATTATTTTCTATTATTACTCCTCTTTCTCGACTCTTCTCTCTGTCGTTTCATACACACGTAGGATAAGCATTTAATATTATATTTTCGTACCTCGGAAAAGTTGTTTTGTGTGAAAACAGTAAGAGGGTGGTGTGCGGGTGGATGATGGAAATGTCTTGATTCTTAAACTAGTTTCGATGCTCGTCTTTCTTTGTTTGATGTTATTGAAGAGAATATTTAAACAGAATTTGTATTTTTATATCGTTTAAACTATTAACATATTCCACCCCATCTTTCTTCCTATTTATCATTTTACGAAAACGAAATCTTTTTTTATTTCAAACTTCTATTAATATTCTGACTGAGCAGTCCCCAGTTTCTTCCATCATCTCGAAAGTAAATCTTTAGTTGAATTGTTTTCATAGCTGAGGTAGAAAAGAAAGAAAAAAAACAGTAAACTGCAGTCACAGAAAAAACCAAAATGATGAATAATAAAACTTTTTTTTTATTATTTGTATTTAAAGTAGTTTTTTCCTTCTCTCTCTCTCGTGGATGATTAACATGGAAAGAAAAACAAGTTTCATGTCTGCTCTGTGATTTACCAAATAGAAGATTGAAGGTGACACATCCAAAGATGAGATTTCAGCAAGTTTCAAAGGAGATGTTGAATAAACAAATTTAGGGATTTGATCGGAAAATAATTATGATTCATCATAAAACTCTTCGTCTTCAGTAAACATTTATCTAACTCGTCTTCAGCATTAATTAAATTTCTGTTTGTCTTGATTTCTTGCATGATTCTAACGAAGGTAGTGAATGAGAATGCTTTTGTCAACTACCATCATCTTATCGTGATCTTGATGCAAATAAACAGATTCATTTCCGAACCCCCTCTCGTTAATTATCGAAGACGAGGACAAAAAAAAAGGAAGTTTTCTGAACCTTTTTTGTCAGCTTAGCAAAAGTAGAACGTAAACAATCTCAAGTGATTTCTTCTTTTAGCAAATTAAGATTTTTAGATAACAAGAAAGGCAAAAGATTACCTTAAGAGTTTACGGGGAAGAAATTTATATCTAATCAACAATTATCAGAATTATAAAAAAGCTTTCCTGCAAACATGCAGCATTGTCTCAGTATTTTACTTTAAAAATGTCTTGCATAAACCCAACCATTGATAATCCGATTACTTTTCCGTTTTTTTTTTGTATATTGTTTGTTCTTCCTTTAATTACTTCCATTCCGTTACTTATTGCTGACATAAGACGCTTTCGCTGAACTTTCTAGGGTTCATTTAAAGAAGATGTCAAAAAAATCATGTCAAATTCCTGAATGACTTTTCTTTCGTTTTTTTTATTAATTCCTAGTTTTGACTTCTTAAGCTTTCCAAAAGAAGCGATAAAAAATGAGCTCTAAATTATCATTTATTGGTACTTTAACCCAAGCATTTATCCAGCTACGTTAATGAAAAAAAGAACCTTAACTCTACTAGTGACATCGTAAACAATCCATAAATTATTCAAGCAATATCAATAAATTTTTGAAACAGTCAATAAATATCTACAATTGACATGATTTCATATTAGCGAGTAAAAAGTGAAACGTAAAACGTATTTAAAGCCGATTTTATTAAAATTTATTGTCGCCGTTGAACATTTTATGGACGGTAAATTTGGTACTCGTTTGAGGCTGTTTTGTGTTGTTTTTAAATTTGGCTTTTATTGCGAAAATTCAAGTGAAAATCGATGAGAATAAAAAATTGAAAAGTGCAGAAAAACAGAAAAAACTTATATCAGTTGTATGAAGTAAACGCCAGAATAAGTAGCTATATCATTAACTTTGAATATTCTCAATGGAAAACTAATCATGCACTTTTGATCCATCACACAACGACTGCAACGATTTTCTCTTACTTTCTAAAATAAATTTTGCAATTTTAATAAATTTAACTAAAAGCAACTTTTGTGGACTTTTGACCTGTTTCGTCTAATTAGCCAACTGTTACCGCACATTAATTAAATTCATCTGAAGCCCCTAAGGAAATCGCTCTTGATCCCATATCAAGACTAATTAAAATGTTAAAAAGTTTTTTGTTGCTGCAGTGGAACATTGAAACTTAATCTGATAAAACATGTTAGCACATTAACAGTCTCTACCTTTCGTTCGTATTTACTTGTGGTAAATGCTGAAATGATATTTGCATGTCTGGTCGTAGATAAATGCTTCCTGTGAATAAAACGAAATGACAAACATTTGAACGTAAGGATTCATTGTTTCAAAAATTTTTCTTACATTTATTGAATCCAGTTCCTTGAAAATAAATCTATAATACATAAATCTCAAAGTTGAATAAATAAAAATTTCATGGAAACAACAATCCAAACATACCTTTCAACTCCAAAGTAAGAAGCAACTTCCTGAAACATCCCGAACTTCATGTTTATATTAATTAGGATTAATGTAAATATTTGTAACTGAATTAATTTCATTTTCCATCTCCTTTCGTTGTTTAACAAAAAAGGAGCTTTTTATTGTTGCAAAATTAACTCAGGAGAAAACAAACTTTTACGATTCAATCCGTGACGCCGTCGAGAAAATTTATTACCAAGCGATAAGAGAACGTAGAGTGAAGCATCAAAATTCATATTATGGTAAGTACCGCGAGAAATTTTCACAACAGGGGAAATGAAGAAAAAAGAGACAGAAAAAATGGTGTTCAAATGATTTAATTTGAATAAATTTCCTTGACGATCTGTGTTGACGTAAACGGCGGAAGTTGTGTAAATTTGCGCGCTCGTGGATTACAAGGTCTGGCAGAAAACAACAAACAGAAGTTTTTCATTCCCTCTGATTTTATCGTGAATTAATACAAATCACTTCTTAATCTCTTATTCGACTGCCGCCACAGCTTTAACTTCGCTTATTTTCAGCCCGGGGCAGCAATTTATCATTTCACCTTCATAATTCGCATCATTATAATTAATTCAATTTTAACATATTTTTCACTCATCTCTTGTTTGCTTTTTCTCAGCACAATTTTCTCTGTTTACCTCAACAATGAAGAGGAATTTTAAATCGTGCTTATGATTTTATCATGTAAAATAATGTCATTAGTTTGCGGAGAAGGAAATCCACGTAGATTAAAATAATTTCTGGGGGGAAACATCTTTTTGACGCTCCATAATTGGGCCATTTCCACAAATTTGTTTGATAAGACGAGAGAAGAAATATCGTAAATAAAGAGGGTGACGGTATAGTTGAATGTTCATCATTATCTAATTGATTGGTTTTCCTTAAAATTCACTAATTCGTTGTCATTAATTATTCAATCAAACTAAGAAATTTACAAATCTCTCTCATAGATTAGAAGTGCGTAGAAATTTTTTAGTTTTTCTAAAGTTTAAAAGGAATAAGATTTGTAAGGAAAATAAAATTTCTGATTGATTGAAAATCCTTTTAAAATCTTAAATTTTAATTAATCATTTTATTTCGCTGTTTTGAGAGTTTAGAAGGAACGACCTGTTTGTAAGAAATAACTTTGAGCTTAATAAAACTTTATCTTGAAGGGAGTTGAAGAAGAGTTAAGGCAAATTATTTATTCAAAAAGAAGACAGAAAGAAAAGTAATGGAAATGAATGAAGACAGAAGTAGTTAATTAATGATTATTTCTCGTTCAAATCCTCATCCTCTTAACCATCACTCCACCTGAACTCGACTTAAAGATGATACCTAGTTTTCCATTCAACGTGTTTTTGTCTTGAAGAAATCTGAGAATGATTAATGATGCTGAGGTTTTTGCTAAATAAATCTAAGCCGACAAATAAGAATCTGCTGGATGTGTAACTCCTGAAAATCGATACAATTGCCACGATTATATAGGAAGAGTTCCGAATCGATCTTTTTTATCGTACTCATGTAAAGAAGCAAATTATTTCATATCAATTTTATCCACTAATTCGTATTTGATAATGAAATTACAAAAATATTTAAAATAAAGCACAAAACATATAAAAAAACATTTCGATGGAAGTTCAGTTTTACCTGACACACGACTCAAATAAATGTCATGACACTCATCGTCCTATCAATAGATAAAAAGAAACTAATCGATCATGAAACAGTTCAGTTGAGGACAAGAACTAAAATGTTTAAGTCTTTTGTTTTCGTTTTAATATTTCTTGCTTCACAAGGTACTTCATAATATAATTTTTGTAACTCCAATTTATAAGAATGAATTTATTGAATATTTTGGAACTTAGGAGAGGCTACTGAAAAGTGTGCTTCACTCGTCACGGAATGCATCTTAAGGCCCTACACAGTCTCTTGGGACGAATGCCCTGAAAATCCTGTTTGTGGTGAAAATCTTGTTCTTGCAAAACACGTTGAGGACGGAAAAGAAGTTTGTTGTTGTAAAAGTAAGTAGAAAATTTGTTGTAATAAATTTTTGATAATTATTTCGTTTTGATTTTAAATCTAGACAAAGGAGATGTCATACCTTGTGGACCCCCAGCCCAATGCGAAAGTGTCTATACTGCTTGGAGGCCTGAACCATATTGTGAATGTCAAGGATATAATGACGCTATACCAGCATGTCCATCTGGCTTGAAATTTGACTTTTGGATAAGCGAATGTATTGCGGACTGTGACATTTGTATAGGTTTTTAATATATGTTTTTAACTTCAATTTTGATTCAAAAATGTTGAAAAAGCTTTTATGAAAATTTGAATAAAATGTTTTTTCGGAGTTAAAACTAACTGCGATTATATATTTCGATTCAGAAATGTTCATGAAAAAAGTTTTTTTAATATTTTTTTATTTTTACTCAGCAAATTCATCTGTTCGATATTTAAAATAAAGTACACATTCAAAAACATTTCGATGGAAGTTCAGTTTCACCTGAGGCACGACTTAAATAAATGTCATGACACTCATCGTCCTATCAATAGTTAAATAAAAACTAATCGATCATGAAACAGTTCAGTTAAGGATAAGAATCGAAATGTTTAAGTTGTCTGTTTTCGTTTTAATATTTCTTGCTTCACAAGGTACTTCATAATGTAAATTTTATTATCACCAATTTTTA